AACCATCTACAAAGAAAACCAAATTGGATAACTTGTTTTCGATGTATACTGCTGCCGGTCATTTAAAGTCTATCACAACCTTTCTTGCAGCGTGAGGACTCAGTTTGTCGAGGACCGGTTGAAGACTTTTAGGCCCAGCAGACCCTTGTTTTTCAGAACCCAGCAATTTCATTTCCAACCTTTTCTTCCGCTTCTTCCACTATCCCACTGATACGCTTTCCAAGTCGGTATATGCAGCTTGTCACATTTTCCTGGCCTCCTTTTCATCCGCTTATGGAGGCTTTCAACTTTATTATTAGTATTATTACCCAGTGTCAAGACATCATTGTAGAATGCTGGGGACCAAAGCCGTTTACAGTTCATCCACATGCCCCTAAATACCTCCCCATATCTTGACTGATAGCGTTGATGAGGCGTTTGTATGCATAAAACCTGGGCTGGACGTCAGTATACTGCTTGCATCTTACCTGCTGGTTGATTCTTCTTGAACTTATCTGCACATATATTGGTTGAGTACTGGATTCCTTGTTTTGAAGTTAGGTGCATGTAAACACTTATTTGAAATGCTTACCATTTTGCACATCGTTCTACAAACGTGGAATGCACACAGGACACCCACGTTTAGGAAGACGGCCTCAACAGCCACCTTCAGTGCCCTTGCACAGTCATTAGCAGAAAAAATGTGCGGACGATGTCTCACCCATTATCCGCTTAAGAGCGTCCAACATCCCTGTCGCATCTGCCTTTTGTTCTCGTCTACTCCACCCGAACATAATTGGGCGACAGTTACCGAAGTTGTCCGTGACAACAAATGGAAACAATTTATGGCCGCGCTTCGTGTTAATGCTATCACGATAGACTTACTCCCCCTTGTTTGTATTATACGTTGAGTCAAAGCATACAACTTCCGGAAGTCGGAGGTAGGTGGCCATTTGATCGCTGCTGCTGAAGCTCACTCTATTCACCTGCTGATACCCACCATCACCCCAGGTTACCAGCTGGCCAGTGCTTCTCAATTTATCGGAAAGCACTGCTTGAGATTCATAACCTGCAGAATAAAATTCATTCAGGAAATAAGTTACTTGGTGTACTTTTCCTCCGGATATTCTTCAGGTAGTCATAAGTTATGTCTTTCGACATAACGTCTTTCACATACTACAAAACACAGTCCGGTTCAAACCCCACTGTCAGCATTGGCTTGACAACCTTCAGTTGGTCCCCCGTCGGGTGCCCACACCAAGGGTCTTTCACGAGATAATTCACTTTGCACGGATGGTTCTGGACCATCCTGACACTCGGGAAAAAAAACGATTCAACCCATAACGTATTCGAATTCCAGCCTGACAAACAATATACTTCGATCTGAAACGCTAATTTTAACAAATTCCCAGATTACCCCTTAATTCTTTGTTTAGTCCCCTCTGACTTTCTCCTGTCACTAAAAGTGCATGCCAAAACAACATAGTGGCACTTTAAATTCGCATCTTCCCTATAACGATTGCATTCCGCGACGAGGTAGTGCGTGTTCGTCGTCTAAACAACGAGTTAAGTGACTTCATAGCATACTTTCTGAAAGGTATTTATCCCTTTCTTGACTTGACTCCAGACAGTAAAATGTTCAGGTCGTATAACCTGCTGAAATATCCATACATTTTGGACTAGCCAGGCTAGCACTTCTCGTAGAGGCTTGCTGAGACTCCATGAAGCTATGAAAATGAATAGGTAAAGCATTCTTCTTAGAAGACTTTCAGCTGAAGTGTTAATAAACAGCAAGAGAACGTGTTAACATTTGCACCAACTTCCTAAGCAGCCAGATAAAGGCTGTAAACGTTGAAGTAATTCGAAGATCACGGGCAGCACAGGCAGTATCACGGCTTTTTTAACGGTTAACCAACTTTTAGTGCAACAAGAACAACAGAACGCGGATAAATTTACATTGACCCATTAACATAACATGAAGAAATACATCCCAGGAAACAAATATGCGAAAAACACTCTTTTTGTAACTGACCTGTGTCCCCAAACATCGCAAACAATAACATCAGTTAAAGAAGCAGGCAACCAAAGGAAGTGGTATCATAAACGGAGCATAAATGAGTAAAATTCATGAGGCAAGAACGCCAACTACGCCTGCAACTCTTATAAATCAATGAAAAACTCGTTAGCACAAAAGAAATCGTCCAACATGGCCCGCTAAGCTGGCGAGAAATGACCTTACAATGGTCACAAGACAGCATTCCGATTGGTTTCCAAGTTGTAAGGTGCTTGTTAAATCTTGCTTGTAGGGTAACAGCAATGCCTTGTGGTCGGTAAGTGTTGGACTTTCTTGATCACTTTTATAACCAGTTAATCCTAGATTTAGTTAACTACGAGGTTGTAGCCCAGTGAATATTTTGTATTTCTGCTTGTTGCAGTTAGGTGTTGCGAACGCAGTAAATCTGGTTACCCTCCATGAAGGGTAGTTTCAGCCAAGGTCTATTCCCTAAATACTTAGTTCTCGATGATGACCAAGCCAACATGTAGGAATGAACTGCTTTTCTACGACAAGAAAAAAACGGACAAAGCAGCAGGCAGAGAGAGTGGAAATTCCAACAAGGAGAGTGTTATCCATGGTCGTGTTTCTCCCCACTTAACTTTCCTTGTTGTGGCATTCGTTATATGTGCTATTTCTGTTGCGTAATGAGGGACATGAAGTTCATGCTGTCGTGTGATGTAGAACTTCTATTTTTGATTAATATTTTGGGTGGGACAGAATGTGCTGTTAGTCTGAGGTCATAACCCATGGAAGTTTCCCCAACGCTATGCATGAAAAGCCAGTGTAGGTGTGGTGGACGTCTCATTACACATTAAAAGGGCCCGGTATACAAAATGTCATGGAGGTTACTGTTGGTGTGTCCAGTAGGCCAGAAAAGTTGCCGGATGATAAGAAGTCAACTAATAACGGACCAAGAAGATAGCATGTCCCCCACTGGCCTACCAAACATCTAGAACCCAACATGTTATAATCTAAGGTAGCTGTTAAAGGACCTTACCCTTATGACCCCATGCTATTTTTATATTTTTCAGTTTCGAAATGCCTAGCGACCTTAATGTGGGCGATTCACCGCACTTGATACACGAAACCAAGGACGTATACTAGTAGCCACACATTCTGGAAAACGTTTGGGTGGAACTTCTTCATACACGTACCCCATCCACGCAACTGGAAATGGCGTGCCAACTCGCATGCTTGTATCGAAGTTATCCAGTCACATAATCGGCAGAATTCAACGTATGCGGGAATAAGGTGCTTTCACGGCAGAATCCCCTCGGCAGGCTTAAGTCAGAAAATTGAGAAATGTGGAGAGCGGAAAATACCGGAGTTGTCATACGGTGGGTAATTTTCTTTCAATTCCCTACTATCTTATGCGTATTCGCGGTCAAAATGTCTTCAGCCCTAGTCACTAGCCCTAACCCCCTAGCTTTTTCGGTTTAGCTTGCCTAATTACTCTTATTCATCTCTACAAATAAACATTAAACCCACCATTCTTTACTCTTTTTGTGAAGAGCTTGCAGTCTTTGTATCGCACAGTAGTTCAAGTCATTTTTGCGGCGCGAGTTGAGGTCTGACGGGTATGTGTTGCCTGATTTGTGATAAACACGAAGGGATGATGGAGTGAATATTGTGTGCACGATCTCAGTGCGTTGGGAGTAGGCTGAAAATATTTTTTCAATCGTCAACGGCTTTGAGTGTGGTATAGAAATCATTCTGGAGATGAAGCTGGAAAATGGGTAGATGGTGATAACTAACCAGGAGGCACTATAGTAAGTAGATAAACTGTCCTTACCTGCATGGCAGTATCTTTACACGACCGATAGCTCTTGTACTTGTGTTGGTTTTCGAGTGCAAACAACACAACTGATGATGAAATAAAACAAAATAAAGGTTGGCTGCACCGAGAACATAGATTCTCCCTGCCTACCACCACGCCCCACTCTGCACCACTATCTTGTCTCTGCAGCACTGATAAGATAACACGCAGCACGAAACACTATATTCGTTCCTCCCTCCATGGTTGTATAGAGCGTGCTTATCGCTACTGAGAAAAGCACGAGTTCTATTTACCTGTCTGCAACTCCACTGTACTCATGTAAATTAGTTTTCTGCCCATAAGCGCATACTTACTCCCACACCTCTTTGCATTCGGTCGCCATGTCTTCGTCTTCAGCCTCGTTTTCAGTGCTTCTGTGTGTGATTTAATCTCCTCCATAAGCTGACCTCTGAATAGTTGACTTAGGGTACTGCAACAAGTGGTTTTTGTAGACATTACATTTAAATGACTTATATATTTCAGGATCGATATACTTCAGAGTGGCATTTCGTGCCTCACCATTGAGTTTTTCCTGCTGCTCACTTTTTCGTTCATTTTTCAGGTCAGACTGAGCAGTACTTCATTCCTATAGGATTCTAGTGATTGCAATTGTCAGCGTTTATAATGTCATCAGGACTTCACAAGGAATGCATAGGATCCAAGGTCAGGGTTGTGGTCGCAGTGTATCAGAATTCAGTAACAAAATCAAACTGCCGCGCTAAGCAGAGAAGTAAGCAAGAGGAAATCGGCTGGTAACTTTACGGTTTCGAAAGTGGGGAAGTAACACGTTTTGTGAAAGATGTTCGTAACTGAGTGGCTTTTGCGAGCAATACATGTCTGTTGCATGTCTACAAAAATGTAACCAAGCATAAGAACTTGAACGAAAAGGTTTCATAACTTCTTTGACTAACAACAAATGCCTAAAAGAGGAATACGTGACTTAGCCAAATAGGAACTGAAAGGCGTTTGCAGTCGCTGAAGGTCAGTAACAGCCACTGAATGCCATGACACGTTTGAATCGACTTCTTGAACCTGATTTACTGAAAGATCATAGCTATCACTACTCATTTTTATATCGCTCGTGCTAAAACTTCTTGTACCTAACGTAGTGTTTAGTGTTTCTAGGATAGATTTCAAGCGTTATGGCAACGACCTAGAAACAGGCAATATTTTTCAACCATCGTTAGAGCCTCAAGGTTGCGAACCTTGACCTTAAGAGGATGGTAGGCCTGTAGTTTTTTGTTCTGGGTTCATATTTTCATGCTAGTTGAATGTAAAATAGAGGAGCGTAAGAAAAATATCTATTTCGAGTGTTTGGTGCAACCATCGCGTATCCATGTTGGAAATCGTCTCGGACTGACTTTGAAAATTGCAGAGAAAGTTAAATAAAATCACTTGTTGCACTAAGAAATGTGTCATTTGTTCCTTGAACCATAGCCTTTTCCATTTAAAGTCTTCAATATTATCCCATGTTTCCCAACCCAGGCTGACATACATGGGGGAAAAAATGGGGATAAACCCCACTAGTGCGGACAATGCTGTTATTTTGTTGCATTTACGCATTTTTCCCCATTATTGTCAGTTTGGTTTCCTCACGAAGATGTCGGAATCTTTCACTTTCACCTGAAAGTGTTGTTTATGTGATATTAGTTGTGGTTTATGACTGTCAAAAGTTATGCGTGTTAAGTCTTAGTGCCGAAATCAGTTTGTCAAGTCTCATATGGTTCGTTTAATCCGAGTGCAGACGATTTCTATCGATATATGTCTCTGCGTGACCTAGGTATCACGAAGCCTCCCAACACCCAACCTCATTAGTGCGAGTCGAGGAAACTTGTAGTCTTTGAGCTCTCGCTTCTTGGTCATGATCTGAAGAAACTGAATACAGTCTAGCGGGCTTGCTTCTGGCAATCGGTTTCCACCCATAAAGTCCATTATTTGATGCTTGGGGCTCGGTTTTATATCGAAACAATCCTCCGAAACTCTCAAGTTACGTGAAGGGTTCGAAGCTTTGGAGCCAGATGCGTGTATCAACGTTCTGAATGAAGCTAGTACTTGGTCATAATGATCAACAGGCCATATGTCATGGAAAAATGACAGTTTTGACACTGAAATGACAGCCCTAGTATTTTTGATTGTGTGGTTGTTGAATAAATCTCAGCTTAGATACAAAATTTTAGTTTATCACTAAGCAACCTACGCCACCTGACACCAGTGAGATATCTAACTTCCTTTTAAAGGATAAATATACTACGCTGCAGTTCCCTTAGTTTGAATGTACGATTGAGATATCTCCTGTGAAAGCAGATATGAAAGGATCACAGGTTTTTGATTTTGTGTCTTCCTAGCGTTACTTGTATGTGGTGGAATCATCATGCAAGCAGTGGTAAAATTAAGTCCAGAGTACAAGGCAGGGTACGCAGTTCAGTAGACATTGCTGTGAAACTTCAGAGGTTGAGGTAGCTTGGATATGCATCGCGCACTCTGAACAACTGTCTACCTCGACTTGTGATGCTAGCCGAAGTAGGATTGCGTTGGAAGAAGGCTCAACGCCCAAACTGAAACGCACCATCAGTCCATAGAGTTTGACTGTTACTCTTAGCGGTGTATATCGGCATAGATGTTTTGGTTGGGGTTTTAAAAATGATAGGAATCACTAGGTAGTGTAACTCATAGTCGATCACAATGGCGCAAATGTGTACACTATCATCAAATTCATGAACAGTTTGTTAGCCTTCATCAATTTACTTTCTCTCCTCGGATACGCTTTATTTTCATGCTGCAGTGAAGTGTAGTAAGGTGAACCGATATTTATCTGTATCGCGTTCTGTTTTGATTTATGTCTGGCTTTAGTTGATGCACAGAACTTTAGTGGATAGATAGACATATTTTAATTGCCAAGATAAACGACTCTGTATCTTCTGTGAAGCCCATTAGTTGTCGTTCTCTCTATCTTTTCGTTTACGCTACCGATATTGTTTTGTAATGGCATCAGTTCATGGAGTCTCAGACAGTAGGTCTGAACCAAGAGTCAGGCTTCGCGTGACAACCTTTATCAGTGTTTAGAGATTCCAAGTGATGTAACTCAAAATCGCTCACAGGGGAGCAGATACATCCATGCATTATTTGCATTGGTTTTAAAAAAAGTTGTTTTACCTCTTTTGTCTCTTCTCTTATGACTTGCTATGATATTTGGTAGTATTTCCTATATTTCTCTCTCTGTCATCTTATTGCCTTGTATTGTAATGTGAGGTTGTGTCGTTGCACCATAGTGCTAGGTTGACTTGACTAAAGTGTATTCTCGCTTTTTGATGGTGTTACGCACTTTTTCCATATTTTGTTAGGCTCTTATTCTTTACTGCACTTATGAAGCTTAAGACTGTTCCGACACTGAAGCAAGCACGGAAAAATAAATTGACATTTAGTAGCATTCTGTAAACATATGAGATCGAAAGTATTGTACACATTGATATGCTACTAAGGATTTAGTAATCGCCATAATAATCTAAAGAGATAGACTGGTAGTACTTAAGCAATTCGATGAATTCAGTTATGATTCATTATTTGTTGTTCAGTTTCGCTAAAGCAGCCATCTCGATAGCACATATCAACATAAATCTGCAAATGGAAGTATGTACGATTATGATTTAAATTAGATACGATGTTCAAACTCTGCCAAAAATTTTGCTTAGGTTTTAATTGATTAGGAGTTAGATTCTAACCGAATCTGTCTGATTCCTTGTTGATGTCAAGTAGTTGTAATCTTGATGGTCATTCTGGCTCATAAATGTTTATCTGTGGTGCTTTAACCTCTTTTACGAGAAAACCATGGTTAGTTTTCCGAACTTATCACAAATATGCCATAATTATCACTGTACTGTCTGTTTCATTACTTAGGATTTCCTAAATTTTCGAAAGTATATAGTTCTTGTAGTGTAGAACTATTCCTGCTATAAGGATGACTGGGTGATTGTATAAAGTTGAAACCAAGTGAGTCTCAAACCCTCATGTTTGTTCCAGTGACTCGACTTCTGATCTTTCGGAAACATGTGGTGGTACTAAAAACTTGTTAAACCACTAGATGAGTGTGACTGTTGTTTCACTCAATTTATTGTTTGAATTTAGCACTAATAATGATTATGTTTATATATAACGTGTAAACTCTGTTTTGGTTTGATTTTTTATTGATGTTTCAAGACCATCGTCATCTTAATCGGTCCACATGTAATTGGTAGTCATCTAGTGGAGTCTAGTATTACTTTAAAGTGTGTGTTACCTTCAAGAGTAAAACACCCTTTTCTTTCCTCTAAGGTGACTTCCAAACTCTTCCAGTAAGACTTCTGGAAACATCTCACAGTTTGGCTGACTCCTGGTATTTATTTGCGAAGCTTTGCAATGCATGAAAAATTTCAATTAAAAAACATTTATGGTGATCAGCTTCAGTTATGAATTGTGGATATCAATCTTTTCAATGGTTCCCCAACTGATGTCAGTCCATGATGAATACTACTTCTTTTCATTAGCGTCTATCCAGTATAACTTCGCCATGTATGCCTAAGCAAAGACATTATTTAGAGTTGTCTGTAAACGCAACATATATTTCCTTTTCGATTGTAAACTTCAAAATGCTTTTTAAAGAATCTTATGAGAAATACATGTTGAGCAAATTACATAAAGCACTTCTCTCATTCACATTTTTTCAAATCGATGGAAATTGTAAGTAAGCCTAAAGGAAACTTCTCCGTTTTTTGTATTCAGTATTTTGTGAATATTTTATTACTTTGGTGCCAAAACATTGTTGTTGCTATTTATTTTCTGAAATTTAACTTTCATTCAAACTGTTACTGCATGATATGTAATTTTTAAAACATCTAATAACTTTTAGGTAAACATGGAGATACATGATAGTCAGAGAGACTTAATCTCCAGGTAAGTTACTTATAAATGTTTAGGCAGCCTTACATTACAGGTCATCGAACCATTCATGGGCCTTCCTGGTGATTATCTCCGTCGTGTCTGCTCTTGGTGGTTTTCTCTTTGGTTATGATACGGGGGTGATATCCGGTGCGATGATCCAGCTGAGAGAATATTTCAGCTTATCATATGTGTACCAAGAGATGATAGTATGTTCTGTCCGACTGTTTATTTATGACAAGTTGTAGGTTAGTACATCATTGTTGGCTGCTGCTACAGCATGCGTAGTTAGTGCCTTCTTAAGTGATCGTGTCGGTCGCAAAACTGTTATACTAGTGGCAAGTATCATTTTCACTATAGGAGCGGTAGTGATGGGAGCGTCGTACAATAAGATTTGTCTACTAGCTGGTCGTTTGATAGTTGGCCTAGGAATCGGTAAGCGAATTGCTATATAGCAACTTAATCATATTTTTCTGTAGGAATAGCGTCAATGTCTGTTCCGGTATACATTGCAGAAATAGCGCCTAACCATATGCGGGGGGCACTGGTCACACTAAATACCGTGTTCATTACAGCTGGTCAAGTAGTTGCTGCAGTTGTTGATGCTCTCTTTATTTCGAATGAAGTCAACGGATGGAGGTAAGCTAACAAGATTAGTGCTTAAAGACTGGTAATCTGTATACGTTATGCTCACTATATTCAATTTTGCTTGTTAGTGATAAGCTAGGGAAGTCTACACAGTGCACCTTTGTGATGCATAGTGTTTCAGAGACTTCTTCTTGAGAAGTGAACAGATTCTCCTTAAATCTGACACAAATGACGTGTACTATGGTTCTTTTGTGAACATTGTAGCTACTAACAAACCCAGTATGAAACAGGTGACAGTCTTCTTGACTATTTTTTACTGGAAGTTCCTGTTCAGCCTTGCAAATAAATCTCTGCTAAAGTGGAACTGCTTTGACTTGAGTGATTATCCTTCAAATTATAGAAATTACCATGGCTTAATTCGAGTCTTGTTATTTCTCTTCATAAAGGTACATGTTAGGTATTGGAGGTATTCCATCATTTATCCAATCGCTTGCATTCATGACTATGCCTGAAAGCCCTCGTTGGTTGGTTCAACGTGGTCAAATTTCAAAAGCCCGTGTTACTCTCCAGCGTATTTATGGGGTATCTACCGTGACACCACAAATAGAGGATGAAATTCGGGAAATGATTGAAGCTTCATCTACAGTCCAGACCCCTGGAACTTCTCAAATATCTTCTGCTGTAGATTATGATGTTGACCATAGGGATTTGAAAGAAAGTAGTAGTTCATCTGGCAGTGGGAATACAAAACTATCAGGAAATGTGCTTTACAAATGTGACGACCAAACAACAAGTGTGTCAGGTAACCCTGAACAGCTTCATTTTGAACTTCGTTCTGTAGTTTATTTTGTTTATACACATAATTGGTTTTAATATACGAAGCATGAAAGCTTTTTGAACGTAAACTGACTAGGTATCCTCAGTAATCAAAAGTAATGGTGAAGAGCAAAACCAGAAATGGAGTGGTTTTCATCAGTACGTTTGAGTCAGAAGCTGCTTAACTTCATACAATAGACTGGTGATAAAAATGCAACAGCTATTAAAATCTGTTATATAAAGGATGAGTTCTTAACAAAATATCGCAGCAATAGTGACAGCTATGCTGTCCAACATCTGCAGCTGAAGTGAATTACTCGGATTGAATCGGAAAATCGAAATTGACTCAGCTACCATCTACACACTTGTGCAGTTACACTTATTGTGTGGGGGCCAGTGATACTACATGTCTGTCCAAACCTCGGTAAGTGGAGGGTTGTTCGAACCCATGACCCACTGTTTGAAAGTCAACTCACCAAACCAATGAGCCCCAACTACTAAATTTGATCTTCTAATTGTGGTAGGAGTTCAAATACTTTTTGGTAAATCACTGTGATGTTTGACAGTCTATCTTTGGATAAGGCTAATAAATACAGGTAATCCTTTTAAACAGACAGATCAGGCTTCAGGTTGTGAATCGCCAATGATTCGGCTATGCATAGATAACCCAGTTGAAAGCTTCTGGAATTGTTCCTTCAAATTACTTTGAAGGAACTGCTAGGTGGAGCCAGGTATTTGGATACGTCAAGGTGTTCAAGAATAGAACTGTTGATATTTTCTCCCTTCTTCTCCTATCGCTTTTTTTAAAGCGATTTACAAAGTGCCTCCCTAAAATTCAAAAGGTCTTTGCATAATCTATGCATAACCGAATCACTAGGAAATCTTGATCTTAAAACCAACCTTTGTGTTCAGAAACATTATTTGCACTCATTAACCTTATAACGACCAAGGTAGTAATTTCCTTTTGTCTTTAGAAACTTTCTATTCTACTCTTGAGCATTATATAAACCATGTATCCCCATTGATTCATAACTGACTGTTATTTGCAATCTTTCAGTTTTAGTAAATGAAGTGGTTATGCCTTTGTCTTATTATCTAATATGGGGATTTTCCGTTCTCACTCAATCAATTTTTTATAAAAAAGATCGAGATTTAGATAGTGTCATAAAAGTTGTGTAACTTGTTTAAGTGTTCGATGAAGTTTTTGTATCTCAATCAAGATCCTATTTGTAAATAGTTTGTTAAGATTGATTTAACATTTTTAACCAAGTGAAGCCGTCAATGCACTCAACACAGTTGTGAAATGTATATGAAATGATCTTTGGTTTCGTCTCAAGGTGTCCTACAAAAAGGTAATATTGTAGACGTAAACGCACATAGTCGCGATTTTGCAGATGTAGAGAATGAATTGGTTAAAATATCTTTGTTGAACTTTTTGTATTTGGTGAAAATAGATGGGAAAACAGAGGTGAAAATCAGTACAGAGTAAAACACCGCAATTATTTTAGAAGACTAATGATAAGTGAAATAACCTAAGTAGGATCTTCAAAAGTGTTAGTCTTTTTTAATAACTCAGTGCATACACTTACTATATACGGGTAAATATGGCTAGAAATATGAACGTGAAATAGCAACTCACACTCAGCCACATGACAGATAAACAGTGAGAAAAAACGGAGACTAAACGTTTTTGTAACCATATGGAGTATTTTTTTCCGATATATTTATATACTTTCAAGGCTGAATCTCAGGGGACAGAAGGAGGTTGTAAAAATGGTAAAGAAAGCAAGGATATATGCGATTTCAGGTTGGTATTCATTATGGATTAACTTCAGCTAGGGAGACATTGAAAACCTTGGAACACTGGACATCTGTTTCGTCCCAGCTGGGACTCTTCAGCAGTGCGCACCCATGATCCCACCAAGGGTCGAACGCAGGGCCTTCAGGTTCCTTGGTGAGCACGTTACCATTAAGAGAATAGGTTGGAATCCAATGGTACACATTTTCCTACTTCTGTCATTTGGCGACATAGCATGATCTTCATCCAATGCCGTTGTTGAGTACCTGTCCCTGCGTACGACTTGGTACAGTCGATACTTGCTGTCTTGACGTGGTGGTTGGGCTTGGATATCACGATAGCCCGACGAGCCACAATGGCTGAAACGCTTGTTCCTTAGGGGTTTTCTCATGCCAGAATGATCTTTTGGATAGTGGTTAGACGAAAAGCAATTACCGTTGCAGTGTAAATTGCTACACTTAGACGGATATTTGAGAACGAAGTTGTACTGCTGGCTGGATAGAGTGTGAGATCGGTAAGATCTTTCCCTTGAACGACCAACAGTGCTATACTGATGGTGTCTTCCTAACGGAAAAGGGTGAGGGTAAGGAGAGGTTGGCCCCAATAATAGCACACTTCTCTTTCCCCCCCAGTCTTCCAGTGCCGGTGGCATGGGTCCTCTCTAGCCGACATTAAAACAACCAAACCTCAAAACAACAACCCACGAAAAGCTGTGTGTGACAGTTTTCAAGCAGATGTCCTATGGGCTCTGTGGTCACATAAACCTTTTCGCTTTCAGTTATCTTCAGAAGAAATGGCCTTCCACAGTGTGGGAACTCAGGAAGTACCAACCGTCCGCACGCTTTCAGTAGTACACAAGACCCAATCAAACATAGTCTATCCTCCTTAACTCTGTCTCTTTTATCTTCACCGACGGATACTAATATTGAGCCTCTTAGACCTTCCCAAACTTTTCACTATGCGAACATTGCTAATTATCCAAACCATCGAAACCACATTCCTAGTATCCTAAGACCCCGCCATCGATTTTGTGTAGGGGCTTTCAACGTTCCAAGTCTATGCCGAACCGGACAGCAAGTACAGCTTGCCAGAACTCTAGAATCTTGAGTCATGGATGTATGGTGAGTCTCTGAGACACATATACAGCACCCGGGTGCAGTTATTAAATTGACTTCAGCTGACCAGTGCGGCGAATCTTCAAACTCCACCTTCCAAGTATCCGGAGACCTAGTATCTAGCTGTTGTGAACTCGCTGGTGTAGGCATAACGAGTTGTAGGGCATAAAGCGCACTTTTCGACTAGATGTCAGTCAACTGCTGTCGATGTGCTGTTCGACCGAATAGATCTATAAGAACTAGGTGGGATTGTGGGACTGGGTGATGGCTATTCGTAATCTCCACCTGCACGGCCACCAGCTGTAGTTCGGATGATGCAAAGGATAAATTCTATGAGAAGCTGTCAACTTTGCTACAAAAAAACAGAACGTTCAGATGCAGGCATTCATAATGGCATGCGACTTTAACTATCGAGTAGGGAAGCTGAGCCAATCAGAAAGGGGTCTTGGGGGATTTACGGAATCCCATGCCAACGAACCGACAACAGTGTTTGTCTGTTGCAATGTAGCTCCAACAATCACTTGTTTCTGGCTAGCACTAACTTGAGGCATAAGGAAAGGTACTGTGTCACATGACATCCACTGACATCAAACCGACAATGGACCCACATAGATCATATTGCTACAAGCCATCGTTGAAGAGGCTCGGTGGAGGATTGCCGCTCTTCATGCAGTACCAGTTTGGACTGTAATCACGCGTTAGTAAGGGCTCGTATATGTCTGCGCCTTACTGGGTGCAGGAATTAGGGGAAGGTAAAGCCTGTATATTTTCGACTAGAGGACGAGGACGCCAAGTATGTATTTTGGAAAGGACTCTGATAACCTTTCAGGTCAGGCGGCTAGAACGTTGGGCGGAACACTTTGTAACATAGTTTAACTTGTCCATAGGAACGCTACAGTTGCCCCAAATCCGGCATGAACCTAAATGTAACGTAGATGTCGTTCCTCTAACTCTTCCTGAAGTTGAGAAAGCTATGTTAAACCTGAAACGATGAAAAGCAGAAGGACCTGACAGTTTGCCACCTGAAGTTTTCAAAGATGGAGACAGGAAGTTGCTGATTAGAGTGACGGAGATACTAGGTAGTGAATGGGAATCAGTGGTAGTATCGTCAAACTAGTGTACTTCACTGATTACCACAGTCGATAAGAAGGGAGAGAACTCTTTTTGTGACAACAATAGGGGAATGAGTTCGACTAATATTATGTCCAGGAACTTAGGGTCCATAGTAACCCAACGCCTAACTGGAACTCCAGAACAGCTTGCAGATTTCAGGTTCTGGAACATAGACATACTTGCAAACCAGTGGCCGACACTTGCCATATTTCTTTGAGTCGAGGTGGCATTTGACTGTCCACCATGAGGTGTTGTGGCAGTGTCTGACTGTGAAGAAACCACCGAAAAGTAAATAGTGCTTATCAAAGCTCTCTACTAAAACTCGCGCAGCTGTGTAAGGGCGTATGAATAGTTGTCATGTGTGTTGACGAGAACTAATGGTATCCTCCAGGGATATCCACTGTCACTACTTCTGTTTAACATCATTATAGACACACTAATAACCATAACCTTTGCAACGTTTGACTTCACAAGAGATTGATCTACTATCTGGAGGTCGTCTGCTTGATTTGGAGTATGCAAATATTGTTTTGCTAGATGAAGACACCGACAAAATGCAAGGTCTTATGAACACGTTGGGTAAAAATCGAAGTGTGTTTGGCATGCGTTTCGCTAGAACCTGCCAAATGCAAGATGATGCTGCAGGACTGGTCTGCTGCAAGTACTCCCCGTTTAATGATAGTGAAGTCGTGGAATGTGTTGACCATTCCCCTTACTTGGGGAGTTGCGTCAGCCCAAACGGGCTGGTTGCTGACGAAATCTCAGATTAGGCATAGAAGGCCCGTTTGGCATTTTCCAACTAGCGTCATTTGTGGCGCCGACTGACCAGATATCTATCTGACTATCTATCAAAGGACGAGTTTACTGCGCTACAGTCCATTCTATCCTGTTGTACGGCTGTGAGAAATAGGCGTTAAGAGTAGAAGACATGAAGTGGTTACGTAGTTATGATCACAAATGTCTTCGTAACATTGTTCGCGTTTGGTGGAATCACCATGTCAACAATATTGAAATCAAGTGAAGATTAAGGGGCAAGAACGGTAAGTCGATTAATAAAGTTGTGAACCTTCATCGGCAGTGGTGACTTGGACATTTATTGTGTATGCCAAGTTATCAACTTCGTCGATGTGCTATGCTCAGGGAGGTCCGATCAGTTTGAAAGAGGGTTCAGGCTTATCAGACTAAGACGTGACACTAGTGCATAAAGTCTCTCACTAATAGTGTTAGCCGTGTGGGGAGGTGTAGACTATCTAATTAGGGTCCCCGAGACGAAACAAATCAATGGTTGAGGGATCTTGGTGACATGTTTGAACATCGGTCACAATCGCGCTAATGTATTCGCTCCTTGACGTCTTCTAAAGCTTGAATGTTCGCACTAACCATTATCTTCAAATCGTTTATTCTCTCATACCACTTTATCGATTTGATATCAACTTTTTTCTATCCACTTGTCCTTTGTGTACTACTGTGAAGTGTGGCGACTTGAAGTGATGTACTTGTGTACAAGGTTCTTATTTGTTTTTTTTTCTTTATCGATAATCTATAAATAAAACATGTTATTAATCGCAGCTGGTTTCGTAGACACTTCATATGATGCCTGGTTCCCAGCAATGGCAGTGAAATTAACTAATACATAAAAATCCAATCTCTCATTTTTTCCATTTTGTTTTACTTTTAATGGTTTGAACAATATATTTTATTACTATTTATTGATATATTTGTTATTCTCCGTTGTTTGCTGGATCGAATTGTTCGACTTCTATTGACATATGGTCTCCTATGCTGACGAGTCCCGAAATAGGACGAAACGCGCGTCCTGGATTCTTCTGCTAGCCACAATCAACCAAATTATGTCATAATATGTTTTATCTTAAGATGCTTTTTGTTTATCTAGTTGATCAGATTCAATTTTTACTGATTGCTTTCGATTTTGTACTCTAATATTTACAGTTGCTCCTCGTTTTCAGTCGATCAATTTCTGGTCAAGATTAACACTATTTCGTATGTTACGTTCCAAACCAACAAGACGTGCTTTATTTATTGGTTGTGGTTTACAAATTTTCCAGCAATTCGTTGGGATAAACACTGTAATGTACTACGGTGCAGAAATTTTGTCTATGGCTGGTATTGGTGGGATCGGTAGTAAAAAGGAGGGGAATGTGAAAATCGCTTGGTTAACTGCTTTAGTTGCATTTGTGAATTTCTTCTTCAGTTTAAGTGCCCCTTGGATTGTTGGTCGTTTCAAAAGACGCTTGATATTTTATTGTAGTTTGTCAGGGGTATTTTTAAGTCTTATAATTCTAGGAATTAGTTTTCAGTTAATCACCAGTTATTCTACTCCTGTGTCAGTGATTGAACCAATCCCAATGGGTATTGTTGATGAAAATACCTACACTTCATGTTTGAAGACGTGAGTGATAATTCTTAAATTGTACTTCTGCTGAACTGATGTGAAAATTAGTTTTAATTTGTATAGTCACATTATTTAGAATTCTGAATAGATTGTAAAAGACAGGTATCTTTCGAGTGTGATGCTTACTTCCAAAGATACTTGTTCGCATTATCTCACCATCTTATCATATTTTTTTCATTTCGTCAACAGCCTTGGATGGAATACATATAATAGAAGGTGGGAGTGTATCTTATTAGTGTGGGCACTTGATTTCCAACTGCTACGCCGTGGGTTCGAACCGCGTTCTGCCCACGGGGACTGCCATCTATTATCGGTGGCCCTCACCTACTGCATGAATGTGCGTGTGGTTGGTAAATTGATTTCTATATATTAGAAAGATTCTTCAATTCACTATCATTCCTGAAGCTATACAGTAAACTCTAATCATCCACAGTTAAGAAACAATTCTTGTCTTTTGAAACTTATCCTACTTCACTGTAATATGTCAAAACTACGCTTATTTTTTCAAGAAATTACATATACATTAACAATAAACTGAAATAACTTCTTACAAACAAATGTCCATTGCCTATTTTTCATTTGCTTCAAGATGAGATTTCCTGAAGTGTTAGTGGAAAGTTATGACCACTGATAGGACAAACGAAGTCATACATTATTATTATTTGTCCCGTGGGTTGCTAGTGGAACATAGGGCTTCAGTAGCACGTCTCCATTTCACTCTGTTCTCTGCAGTCTTTTCAGTCTAGCTCTTCCTCACACGATTTCCTCCATGTCACCATCGGATGTCCAACTCGTCGTTTCCCACTCGGATTCCACTCGAGTGCTTGGCCTGGTGCGTGATGTCCCCAGTCGGCCTTCTCAGTGTATGCCCAATCCTTCTCCACTTCCTTCTGCACATTTGTTGGGTGATAGGTTCTTGGTTGGTTCTGGCCATCTGATCTTCAGCAATGAGCGTAGGCAGCTGTTGACGAAATGGAAATGCTTTCCGTAACGCGCCAAGTCTCTCAACCATCACATAGAAGCACTGAATTGACGTTGGTGTTGAAAATCCGGATCTTGTTCTTTGTGCTGAGTGCAGAAGATCTCCACACTGATTTCAGATTAATGAAAGCCTGTCTTGCTTTTCCGATCTTGGCTTTGACGTCCTCATCTGTGCCACTGCCTTTAGTTGAAACGATGCTACCTAGGTAGGTAGTTGAAAGAGACTACTTCCTTTAGATTTTTCCAGTTCTTGGTGATTAATGCTTGTTGTTGATGTTGTTGTTGGTTGGGTATCTTCATCACCTCTATCTTCTCTACATTTAAATGAAGTTCCGTCTTCGTTGCCTTTTATGTCAAATTATTAGTTTTTGCCTGTAGATCTTTGAGTTTGTGTGACATTAGGCGAAATCCAAATCTTCTTCTGGGGTCTTTTCATCGGTCTAGCATATGCCCATCTTCTCGCTCCCCACGGTTTGCTGCACAATCCAATCCACCGCAATCAGAAAGATCATCGGTGATAGTAGACAGCCTTGTCTTACTCTTGTCTTCGATTCAAAGGCATCTCAGCCTTCCATTGCGAATCATTTGGCATGTGGCGTCGTCATATAGCTGTTGAATGAGATTGATAAAAGTTCGTGGTACTCCATAGTATTGAAGCAACTGCCAAACTACTTGTCGGTCGACGCTGTCGAAGGCCTTTTCAAAGTCGATGAAGTTGAGGTAGGAACTTGACCGTTATTCCATGCTCTGTTCAATGATGATGCATGGCGTTGCAATTTGATCCGCACATGCTTTGTTCTTCCTGAATCCAGCTTGTCCCGGTCGTAGTTTTGAATCCTTTAGTCTCTCCAAGATGATGCGGCCTAATATTTTGATTGGGGTGGACAGGGGCGTGATTCCACGCCAGTTCTTGCAAAGACTTAGGTCACCCTTCTTTCGAAGTATGACAAGGTAAACCTTCTTCTAATCAATGGGCAGATACCTTCCCTTCTTCCCAGACCTTCTGCAATAGTGGTGTGAGCATGTCCGCTGTTGTCCCTGGGTCCGCTCTCAGTACTTCGGGGGAATTCCATCTGGTCCTGCTGCTTTTCGGCATTTCAGTAGCTTTATGGCGTTCAGGAATTCGACTTTTGTTCGGAGGATTTGTGTTCACTTGTAGTTCTGTGGCTGGGTTGCTGGTGGTATTTCTGGACGAAGTGAAGGTGGTGGTCGATTCAAGAGCTTTTTGAAGTGGTTAGCCCATAGTTTCCTTTGTTTCTCCCCTTTGGAAACTAGCTTTCCTTCACTATCTTTCATTGGTCTCGTCTGCGTCGATCTCTTCCCGGATAGAAACCTGGTTATTTGATATGGTGTTGTCAGGTCTCTCCTACCTGCAGCCTGTTCTGCTTCACTTGCCAATGGGTCTTAGAAGTGTCTTTTGACTTTGCGTGCACTCTTCTTCACTTCTTTGTCCAGTGCAGTGTTTTGTGCTTTGTACTCAGTTCCTCTTTCCATTGTTCATCTTTGCACTGGTTTATCTTCTGCCTCACCATCCTCCTCTCCCTTCTCCATCAGCTTCCATGTGTCCGTCGAGATCCATTCCTTATCTTTTTCTTCTTCCTTCCTAATACAGTTATGCAGGTTTCCTTCCATGTCTCTTTCACAGAGTTTCAGTGATCTTGCATGCAGGTTTCCTCGGGTTTCCTGATAGCTGACCTGAAGATGTCCCTTGAAGTTTTGTCCTTCAGTTTCTGGGTATTAAACTTGTACTGTGGTCTATCCATCGACTACTTTGCGGGCTTTCAACTTGGTTTAGAAAGCAGGTTCTTTGCACTTGATAGTGCTCTGAACCTACATCTGGTCCCCTTCTTGATCTTGTGTCCAGTAAGTTGCATCTCCGCTTTATTGAGATTGAGATGAAGAAGTCATACATAATAACAGGTATTTATCAATGGCATTGAACGATGGTCTCACTATGGTAGACGATTGAATTCCAACACAGTGGCTCAATAGAAACGTGGTTGCCGTGGAACCTGGGTTTGATCCCTGTCGGTGCACAGAGTCATGGGTACGCATTCCTGAGGAGTCCCCCTAGTTAGAAGAAACAGCTGTCCACTACTCCCAGGTTTCCAATGCTTCTCCAACTAGATGTCAGCCTGTAGTGAATATCAACTTGACAGCAATAAGTAAATCCTCATCAACCTTCAAATTGAAGATGTTACCTGCTATATTTACCTTTTTTTTCGATTAACGTTGATAAGTCAGATTATTTCTAGAGTAATAAAAAGTGATTTTTGGAAGAATTGGTATTTATTAAGTGGAATTCATTGTTATATTACCGTCAGTAGTAGTATCAGTCAAAATCCCACCAGTCAATTATAACAATGCCAAAGTGATGTCAACTTTTATTTTCTATAATTTATTTCATGAATTATGCAAACCACTGCTATAACTTGTATCAACAATATTATTACCCTGTATTATTTATGTTCGTAAACATTTTCAGCAAGACGTGTGATGTGTGTATTCAGCAGAAACACTGTGGATTCTGTTATCAAACATATTTATCTGAACAAACAAAAGTTCCAGTGAATGGTTCATGCCTTCCATCTCCCACAGAATTCTCTGCCTTCTCCCCTTATGGTCGATGCACTGAAATGGTAGGTCAAATAAAATACTCCGTATTTTAATGGTAATGATAATGTGTAAAAGTCAATTTTGGTGAAAGTGTATGCCTTCATTGCGGATCTGCAACTAACAGGAAGTCTATACACCTTCGAGTACAAGAATGACAACATTCGTGATCATCATTAGTGTGTATTATCATTTATCATTATTATTTGTCCCTTGGGTTCCCAGTAGAACATAGGGCTTCAGTAGCATGTCGCCATTTCACTCTCTTCTCTGCAGTCTATTCAATCTGGTTCCACCACTGCCCATAAGCTTTCATTTCTTCCTTATACGATCTCCTCCACGTCAACCTCGGACACCCAATTCTTCGTTTCCCCTTTGTGTTCCACTGAAGAGAGCGCGTGATGTCCCCGAATGGTCCCCTCAGCGCGCGCCCAATCTATCACCATTTTCTTCTACATGTTTGTTGGCGATGGGTTGTTGGTTGGTTCGTTACCAGCCAGCCAGAGTTCCTCCTTGCTGATTGTTTATAACTATCTGATCTGATCTTAAGTATCGAGTGAGCGTGGGCGGCAGCTGTTGACGTACGCCTGCAGTTTGTTGGAAATGCTTTCCGTAACGCGCCAAGTCTCTCAACCATCACATAGAAGCACTGAATTGACGTTGGTGTTGAAAATCCGGATCTTGTTCTTTGTGCTGAGTGCAGAAGATCTCCACACTGATTTCAGATTAATGAAAGCCTGTCTTGCTTTTCCGATCTTGGCTTTGACGTCCTCATCTGTGCCACTGCCTTTAGTTGAAACGATGCTACCTAGGTAGGTAGTTGAAAGAGACTACTTCCTTTAGATTTTTCCCGTTCTTGGTGATTGATGCTTGTTGTTTTTCTATATTCACTTGAAGTCCTGTTTTCGCTGCCTTGCCTCTTCTATCAATTTGTTAGTTTTTGCCTGTAGATCTTTGAGTTTGTGTGACATAAGGCATAAATCATCGGTGAAATCACTAGTGTGTAAGTTTCTATAAATGTACTCAGTCAGTTGACCATACCATTATTCGGAAGTTCAATCCATAATTTGTACTTCTCATGTTGAACATCTAGCAGGAGTTATTTCTCACTCTCTTTAGTGAATTGCTGAAATTATTTAAACTCTGTGAGTATCAATACTTGTTTTAACTACTAGTGAAGTGTACATTTAATTAGTTTAAAGTTTATAAGGATTTTATTTGTTTCAAGGTAGTATTCATCACGAACTGATTTCAATTTGAGAAACATTAAAAAAGTGTGAACATTGGAAAGCTGTTTTGTCCTGGTACAGGACCTCTAAGCAGTACACACCACGACTGTATCAGGAACTGAACACACGACCTTCAGGTTTTGTGGTGAGTGCATTAACCATTCATCCACTGGATCAGAGTTCATTGGTTTACACTTTTTTATTCCTATCAACTCACCATATAGCATGACTATCGACCAAAGTGTTGATAACATTCCCCAAATGTAAATAATTGGATGACTTCTAATCCAACACAATTTTACCAATCAAAAGAACTCAACCAATGTGAAAAAGGCAAATAAACTAATTTGAAGAGAATAAGTAATCCCAGTCACTCATATAATCGATTCAATTCGAACAGATCTGGTCAACGAACTAAAGTGTAGCAGAATGGTATAGTTCATTTGAGGGATTTTAAAGACCACCTTGGCAACTGCTAAGATAACCAATCAGGCTTTTGTGGTTTGGTTGGAAAAATAGCTTTTTCATAAAAAGAACGAAGGATAAATTGGTTCTTTGAGTAGTTACTAGGATGGCCTTTAAAGTCACTTAGTAGTCAACATTCGGATGTATTTCACTAATCAGTTATCATTGAACGAGACAAATCATCCCGGTATACATATTTATGAGCAATAAAATTTGTTGATAATAACTAGTACTGCAATGAAAGCATAGTGTCATTAACAGGGTCAGCTCAAAGTAAACCTCAGTTTCTTGACTTACAGATACTTGTAGTTGCCTCAATTCATATTGTGTTTAGAACTGTAACCCGTATAGATGTCATATAGCAGTTCCTTAATCATAATAGGTTCCTGATACATAATTATGGTTTGCCATGTTTTGTAGTCTGTGCTTACACACCTTAGAAATCAAATTTTTTGTAATCTTGTGTGTAGGAGTATAGCGATTATACAACTAAATTGTTTTGTCACAAACAAGGTTTTAACATCATAGGTTTCACTTCAATTTTAGGCTCTGCTCCAAGTTTTAGGCCGGTTGAGAGATCTATCTAGGTTCCAACACAAATCTGGTGGATCGGTCCACCCACCGAGCAGGAAGCCTTCACGTAACGCATGCACATGAAAACGCATACTCTTGCAGAAGATTCTGTTAACACTCCTTCAAACTGATTATTGCTATCTAACAACCTTCCCTTCTATCAGGCTTCAACGCATCCGCATTTTCCGAGTACTCAGTTCGTTCACCGTAATCACCTCGTTGTGGGCAGACATGCTGGTGATGTGTCTCACTGAATTCTTTACAGCCTTACAGACTGAATGCAGTTCACCTTTCCAAAAGATATTCCTATAGGAGACTTGGTCCGTGACCCCATAATGCCAACAGATTCACAAAAGTGGCTCCCTTTGGGCTACTGAAATACAGCCAAAGCTAAGGCTAGTGATACGAGCATTCTAAATGGAATATCACTCGCCTTCGCAGGGCAAACTACACTCGTCTCTGGGGATTGCTTCAACAGCAATGACTAGCAGACTTAAGAAGCTGGATTCACCTTACCTTTCGGTTACATTGCTCCCAGTGCATCAGGCAGAATCTTGACGACTATCAAAACCGTCCGTGCTTTGAAAGGCCGCGCCACTGATCTCGCCCATGTGGATCTCGTCGACCGTGATTTTCGCTAAGTCAACTTGACAGTGTGTTGTTTGATATCCAGTGGGACCACGAAGAGGCTTACCGTCGTAGGCAACTAGGCTCGACCCGTAATCTTCATGAGCCGGCAACAGAAACCCAGCACCTTTTAATCGAACTACATAGAGCTTCGTCACGTTGACACTGGCATGCAACTGTGGAGCAGATCCATGCTGTGCAGAGAGTCATAGTCTTGACATAAACAAGGTTCTAACATACATTAGGTAAATACTGACTGCATTTTATTTACTTGGCATGCATATGGCGATACAACAGTATGAAAACAATAAATTACCTTTGAAATAAGTTCTTACTGTATAATATAATAAAAACATCTAACCTTTACCATCATCATGCTTAGGTTGGTAATTCGTGATTGAATTTTCAACTTTCAACCTCTGAGTATCCATTATACACACTTGTTTTAATGGGATTTTACTGGCTACTGATGTGTATCATTTGTTTTTAAAAAATAGTCTATGCAGAAAGAAAATACTATTTGGGCATTTGATCACTGTCCAAATCCATTTGGTTGGATGACACTCATAGGACTGATACTTTATCTCGCTTCGTTTGCTCCAGGCATGTCACCATTGCCTTGGACTATAAATGCAGAAATTTATCCAGCTTGGGGTAGGAGTACAGGTGTAGCCACTGCGACAGCATGCAATTGGATAGCAAATTTGATTGTTAGTCTCACTTTTCTGTCACTAACTAGTGTTATTACTCGTCAAGGTGAGTATTGTTGTTTTTTTTTGTAGAGTGTATACTTATGCTAATCGATCGCTAGATGGTTATTCGTATACGTTTCAAACTGTTAGAGTTTATCAGTAATGTTTACGATTTCACCATTTACCTAAGTGATATAACACGAGTTTAGTCTAAGATGTTTGGAAGTCAATCAGTCGACACTCACTGGCAAGGTATATCTGTAACCTTGAGAACACTCAGATTCTTCATAAAACATGAGTTTTTCGCTGACTGATTGTAAGTATCGGATATCGATGAGTTGGATCTAAATTTCTGTGCACAAGAAAACTAGATATCTAATGGAAAAGATTCAGAAAAAATATCTGTCCCATTTTGTGAACAAGCTAATAATTATTTTAGCATGGTTCTCTTAAACCACTCTTCATGATAGGATCGATTGTTGGACCTCTGTTGGCGAATGGTCTCGTATGTGGACGCCGTGGCACTGCCCGGTTACTCATTATGTTGTGATCAGCTTGGCGGCTAGCAGTGGAGTCTGGGACGTGCGTTTCATCCTATTTTCGACTCGTCAGGTGGATGTACATGCACCCAGTGAGTGATGTTGTTGCCACTGAGACTAAAACACAGTACCCATCTCTTCAAACACCAAGGCGTTATCCACTAATCTATTCCCACTGAACGTCAATCGTGGCGCGAATACATCAGTGATTGTGTCTTTGGCTGCAGTACTGGATGACATGTGTTCGAAGCTCTCAGTCTTCTCGAGGCTGCAGACATGACTTGCTGACGAGTGCTAGAGAGCACGAAACCTAGGTTCAGGGTTTCCTACCGATTGCCTCCAATCATACAACATTAGACACTATGCCGATACTATAAAGTTCGAATTTAAGCAGTCGGGTAGTATGAATAGCTCTCACCACTATACTTCTGCTTCATAGCCTGGTGTACAAGTGTCTGTATGTAGTTGTTAAGTTGCACTGCTCATGTTTACTGTAGTGAATAGTGTCGTCATTCCAGATCAACTAAACTTACTTATTTAAACTGCTTTCTGTTAAGATAAAAGTATTATTATGCGTTTGTTGAATTTGTGCTTGATAACTGTCATACTACAGCATGAATTTCAGCCCAGTGCTTCGTTAGAAACATCTTAAAATGCACCTTTCATCCTATGTTTTACTTCACTTTGTTCCACATGGAAGGTGGAAATAGGGGGGAGTAAATATAATAAAATTATACAAAATTTGGAACATGTAAGCATAATAAGTAGCAATAATACATTTCCACATCTTTCCTTGGTATTGAAATGAGATAAAGATTACTAAGAAAGGTTTACGGCAAGGGCGAATTGTTTTTGAATATACATGTAGCTAAGGCTTCAATTAACCTGAGTTTACAGTCTCGACGGCTTCCATGTAATGGTCTATAGGGGATTTTTGGGTCAATCCTGTGATCTGTTTCTACAGTGTATTTGGCTATGGATGATGATATCTGTCTGCCCCCTGTATTTATTAGATTATTTGAATATAATGGACTTTCCATCACTCAACTTCATAGTTCAGTTACTCCTGACAGACAGACGAAGTCAAAGTAGAAACTCGCACACAAGTGCATTACCTCAAGTTACCACACTTCACAATAGTGTACGAAAAACAGATGGATAGAAAACGACTGGTATCAAAGTAGACAAAGTTTGGTGACTGAAAAAGCTGAAAATAACGGTTAGTACGAGTATTCAACCTTTCGAAGACATCGAACAGTGAATAAATCTGGATTGTTGTGACCGATTTTCAGCCATATCACCAAGATACCTCAACCACTGATTCCTATCGTCTCAGGGATCCCAGTCAGGTAGTTTACATCTCCCTAGTTAGCTCAGACCAACAGTCAGGGACTTCGTCGACTGATGTCACGTATTTTTTTTGGCCACCCTAAACTCTCTTCTAACCCGATCCAACTTCGTGTAGTATTGCACGTCGAGATAGGTGGTGACTCAGCATGCGCAACTCATGACCAAGCCACCTCAATCAATGAAAGTTTACAACCTCATCAACTGAATTGCTTTTCTTGTCTAGTACCATACCCTTGACCTCAACATTGCTCACGCGATGCTTCCATGATACACGAGCAATGCTACGAAGAAACATGTGATCATTTATGTAGTAATGATCATTATTTTGAAGCATAGGTTTCATTTTCTCTATAACATTGAGCTTAGCTGCATAATAAGTATTTTACTAACTGAACTAAACCTTCGTCTTAAGATTATAATATTTGGTTCCACCTAATACAGTAGCATGATGTGAACATACTTATTTGGGAAAGAATACTGATTAGTTGTCAACTTTAAGGCGTTTTTATGACGATCAATGAACTTCAGTGGATATGCGTTTTTCATGAATGTCATTGTTAAGAGTTCGATTTCTTTTAATGTATCCCTTTGCTAGATACGTTGGATCCTTTTGAATAAGTATTTTACTAAACCCTATTTGTACTGTATTGGACGAAAATTACGAGAATTTAGGTACTGTCGGGTCCACGTAGGTTTTCTGTACACATAATAATAATAGTGATAGTAATAGCTTTATTCCAAACAATATGTATGACAGTATGGAATTCTCAGCATGTAACTTTTTTAACGAATTCACTCCCAGAACAATATTTTCAGAAGAAATGGTTATTGTATCTGTATGATGTTAATAATAACAGTATTCAAGGCAATAATATGAAATAGATAGTTAGTTCTGGATATGCATCTGGTTCATAATGAAGAATCAACAGAAATGCAAGCGTAATTTTGGTGGTGTAGGTAAGCATTTGATGGAAAGAAATATGATGTACTTTATTGCACCGAAAAGTCGATCTCCATATGACGTAAGATTTTTTCTTTGCTTTGTTATTAACTCGAGAGACGGAGAGTTGGAAACAGTTTAAAAATGTGCAAGAGTACATGATACCTTCAAAGGATATATTTAAATGATTAAAACAAATTGAAAGGAAAGAATGTGATGAAAAATGTTCAGTGGATAAATTTGGTCACCCAAGGTTCAAGCAGGTCGCTGATCTTATTATCGACTCATCTTCCAAGGAAGCTGATTAATATTTTCTACTTCACACGATAAACTGATATGGCTTTGTATGGTGCTAAATCTCTCTAAAAGGCTTTTTCATCCTTATTTTTGGGGCATATAACTAAGATATCATCAACATATCTCCTTTACATAGGGATTTTGTTGATTGGATCTCCAGCCAAGAGTTTCATGTGTGACATAGAGATATCAGCTAATAATGGTCCTATAGGACTATCCACAATGATGTTATCAACTTGTAAACAATGTGTTCACCTTCAGACGTGAAGTAGACCTTATTAGTACATAATAGTAATAGGTCTTTCAAATATCTTGGAGCGATGGGGAATGAAGGAATTATTCAAGGATATATAATCACTAAGGATGTCAAGAGTCTTCGTTAAAGAAACACTGATGAATAAAGAATTGCGCTTAGTATTTGTACTAGCCAGTTTATGCAATTTATGCATTCGTTAGTATTGATCATAAACGAATATATTTACTTTGTTTGGCTTCGGTAAACTGTACAAGTTTAAATGTTCACACCCTATAGGTTTTAACGAATGAAATTCCTCTTTGTTAATGATATTCATGTTAAAGAGTTTAAGTAAAATTACAGTTAGTTTCTTTTTTAATTTTCTAATATCTTGTATCAGACGGTATTGAATGAATTTGCTTATATCACAGAGAATGGATAATATTTTGCCTTTATAGTCTTGTGTAGTCATAACAACTACACTACATTTAAGGTTAGAAGGCGTTAAGACCGTATACTTAGGTTCATTGAAGCCTTAGTTATACGAAAATTCAAACCTTTGTGTATTCAAAAACAATTTATTGTTACCTTAAGCCTTCTATTGCTTTCCACAACACTTAGTCATTGAACCTCATTCACCCATCATCTGTGCGTGGGACTGTCTTACAATATATTGCAAGGTTGTCATATCAATTGTTATGTAAGGATATTTCACTGTATGTTGGAAAGGTGACTCAAAAGGATTGACTATTAATCTGATACTTATTCTAAACTGTATTCTCTCTTTAGGCACTTACTTTCTGTATGCTGGTATATCTTTACTGGCGATAATGTTTGTATGGAGATTTGTACCAGAACATGGTAATAAAACTCTCGAAGAAATTCAAATCATTACGCAACAATCGTAAACTCCTCAACTATTGTCTTTCAGGGGATTCAGATCTTGTTAATTATTGTTTGTCTACTCTTTTATTTATAACACATTATTTTTGTTTACTTGAATTATGGAGTAAATCATTGTTTATTCATTTCGTTATCGCTTAGATAGGGGCATAATAAAACGGTTGAGAATAAATTAAAAGGCATTATTTTAGGTTGTGCTTTGTTTATACAAATGGACAGAATTGATCGCTATTAGTATTGGAATATTGGGTTATTTTTATGTAAGATCGATTTTTTCTAATCCTTTCTGCTTAGAGTAGGACAGCTGAAAGTGCTAGTCGAACAAGAGAATTACACTATAGTCCAATCAAGAGTAGGAACATTGTGAGGAACTCAGGACAGTGTTAGCTAAACTCTATGTGATATTTCATTATCTGTCGTAGGCCCTTCTCCTTTCCATCTAGTCCTTTTTAATCGACACAAGCCCGATCATGAAAGAGAGGTAGAATCTGTTGATGAGGTTTATGCAGCGTAGCACACAAGCTGAATTCTCTTAAATTAAAGTTCACTACAGAAGCTAATACTCCAGAATAAAGTTGAAAGTGAGTTTTAAAGTAGGTCAACCGCAATCCTTTTAAGGAGATGCAGATAATTAAGCGGTTATCTTGACTAATCAGTCTTTTGAAAGCGTTTATCTTGAATCTTGTTCTTCACTACTTCATGATAGACTGTAGACACCATGTGAGTAACTCAGAAACCAGATGTAGAGTTTTAGGCAGGAAGAGGTAAGTCAGTTAATGCTGTTGTAAACTTTCATTGACTCAGATGGCTGGGACATGTGTTACGTATGCCTAGTCACCGTCTGCCTTGTCACACAATGTTGGCTGAAGTAGGTTCAGGTTGGAACAAGGCTCGGAGTGGTCAGACTAAAACATGGCATAAATGCATGAAGTCCTTGACTGTTGGTTTGAGCCATGTAAGGCGATGCAGACTAGCCGGTTGGGATCTATGAGAAACCAGTGGCTGGAGACTCTAGGTGATATGGCTGAGAACCGATGTTAGTGGTGCAGATGCATACACATAATCTTCATGTTAACCGCTATACTTAATCTCATCACTTCATTCTACCTTTCTTTCTTTTACTACTTTCTACTCCCTTTGACCGATTTTTCTTTCATTCTTCATCTTCCACTTTATTGCCTTGTTACCTGATGTGGTGATATGAGGTGTGGCAACTTGGACCGCTACACGCTAATGCCTAGTCCTATGTTGATCATGATGATGATCAATCGACTTATGCTTCCCATAAACATATACAAATAAATAATGAATCGAATTGACTGTTCAAATGTTCGGGTTATTTAGCCTATTTAAATGTTTCTCCATTTTTGAGAAATTTTTAGTTACCATTCTTTTGTATTGACCTGAATGATGAATCTGGTTCAGCGGAATTTAGATTTAGCTTACCATACTTCGAAATAACATGAATCTATGAAGTTGGACGAAAAATGAAAGGAAGCAGTTGGTTATACACACAGTCAGACTAACAGAAATAATGAACACTTGGCGATTTAAACTAAAAGTAACAGTAAGTCAATGAAACACACAGGTGACCACGATTTTAAACATTCCAGCATAGCTTAATGAAGGTCAGCGCAAATCAAACAGTAGCAGACACAGTTCTAAAAGACTCATAAGCCACAGAATGCAAGGTAATCTTCTGAAGGGTGTCAGGAGACGTGTACTTTGTAAATTTTAAACTTTCCTATTCCTTAGCTTGTGACATTTTTTTATTTTCATTTTATGATTACTCAATCACCGTGTGAGCAATGATGAGTAAGGCAAACGACACTAGGCAAGTCGATTGATTAGGCTTGAGAAAGTGTTGCTCTGAGTTACTACATGCCTCGACGTGCCACGTTGAGAAAAGTCTCAGTGTTCAAGATTGTCACACAAAGACATAAAGTCTGTCACTATCGGTCTGCGTCATGTGGGAGATGTAAATTGGCAGTTTAGATCTCCGAGACGAAAGGAATCAATGGTTGAGGACTCTTGGTGATATGGTTGAAAATCGGTCACAATGGCGCAAATGTATTCACTCCTTGACATTATTCTAAAGCTTGAATATTTGTACTAACCGTTGTCTTCAGATTGTTTATTCTTTCACACTACTTTGATATCATACATCTTCTATCCACTTGTTCTTTGTGCATTACTGTGAAGTGTAGAAGCTTGAGCCGATGCACTCGTGTAAGGGATTCTACGTTGACTTTGCCAGTTGTCAGTCAGTTAGTAATTTCTCATTCCCTTCAGTGACAACTGTGCACCCATTTTGTTACGAGTTTTTCTATTCTCGATTTCAGCTCACACCTAATTATTCATAATGTCAAATATTTTCATTTTTCTCGTTTCACTTCTTTTTTTGTTGATTATCTTATTGGCCACAACCTAATAATAATAATGATAATAATAATAATAATAATAATAACTGGCATATTTTATTAATAAAGATTTAATTGCAACTGAACAGCTGTTGTGGATAATTTCGGTGAAAGCAAATTTGTTTGCTGAATTCTTTCTTCTTTTATCATCAAAATTGCTAGCCAACAGCTTCTCTTACATTGTATGCTTACTTTTTCATTCAACCAGATGGATAATTTAGAAGATATTGGTAACCTTCTTATTGCATCCTTCATGTGGTGGATGGGCTTGCATATCACGTTGACCTGACGAGTGATTTAGGTGAAGCATTTGTAAGCTTGAAGTTCTGGCATGACAGAAAAGTCTCCTAGATAGTGGTGAGCCGAAGACCAGTTAACGTCATAGGGTAATCTGTGATGCTACCATGGTATCCGAGGGCGAAGTCGTACTGGTGGCTGGACGCGATGTGAAAGCAGTTGGTATTTCCCACAGATGACCAACAGTATCACGTAAATCTTTTCCCGCAAGAAGGAGAAGTTATTAAAGGTTTGTCCCAAAATACGCACACTTCCTCTGTCGGTAGTATGGATTTTTCCTGTCCGGTGTTAGCACAATCAAATCTCAGTCCAATAATCTTCAGACGACTGTGTAACATATCTGAAGCTCTGCAATTACGTAAAACTATTCCTTTTCCTCTTGCGGTCACACTGCAGAAGCAATTAAAACGACTTGGGGATCCAAGATGTACCGACTATCCGCATAATTCCAGCAGTATGCAAAAACCAATCAGCCATAACCTACCCTTGTTTTTTGTTTGCCTCAACTTCCTGATACCAACAGTAAGTCTATTACAACTTCTCACTCTACCATCACTGATAGGGACTCAAGTCAGAAAAACGACATTCTTAGTCTACTAAGAGCCTGTCATCGATTTTATGTAGGAGCTCTCCATGTCCAAACTCTATGCCAAATCAAACAGCAAGCATCGCTCATCAGAACTTTAGAATCGCTAGCTACAGATGTACGCTGTGTCTCTGAGACAAGTATACGACTTGACTTCACCTGGAGAATGCGGTGAATGTCGAAACTCACTTCATGAGTGTGCAGAAATTTAATAGCTAAGTTTTGTGAATTTGCTGGTGTAAGTGTAGCGTTAAGTTCTCGTGCAGGTAGCACACTCCTCGACTAGATACCAGTCAACAACCGTTTGTGTGTTGTCCTATTGTGAATAGAAATGTAAAAACTAGGAAGGGTTCTAAGACTCACCAATAACTATCCACAATTTCAGCCTATGCGTACACCTACTGCGTTCAACCAAAAGTAGTCAATTTTGCCACATAAAACAAAACCATCAGATATAGTCAGATGGTATGTGACTTGGTATTAGACTTTGTCAACGTGTCTCCCACTAACGTGAATACTTTCATGTCACTTTTTTCACGCACCTGTTTTTTTGCATGCTTTTACGAAGTTTAGAAACCTCAAGTACTTCACTTGTGTGCGAGGTTATCCGTTGATTTTGTATCTGTCTGTCGATTTACCAAAAGACTTAGCGACCATCAAGGTGGGAATCTGAAGATGTCCATTCTCATACAGTCAGATTTATGCTGGGTGATGATTGAAGGTGGGATGAAAGTTTGGACCGTAGCCGGATTCGAACCAGCGACCACCGGGTTTCCGGCCCGATGCTCTACCAACTGAGCTACGAGGTTTGACTGCTGATCAGATTTTTATTTCACTCCAATCACGGAGGGTTTTGTCCGACTATCATGTGAATTTGTGACGCGTTACCAACGCTTAATCGTATTCACACTGGCTGCTCACCAGTCAGGGCTTCTCATCCCAATCCAAATTGGAGAGGAAGAGGATCATACTGATTGTCATTTTTACTATCTGAGATAGACGTAGTTTGGCTGACTAGGCAACCAGTGTGACTACGATCAAGGAATAGTAACGCAACACGAATTCATATGATAGTCGGACAAAACACTTGGTGATTGAAGTGAAATAAAAATCTGGTCAGCAGTCAAACCTCGTAGATGAGTTGGTGAAGTATTGGGACAGAAACCCAGCGGTCACTGGTTCGAATCCGGCTATGGTCCAAATTTTCATCTAACGTTCAATCATCACCCAGTATAAATACTAGTCTCCCAAACCACGGGGCCATCTCAAATAGTCAAATGATAATCAGATTTATGCCGAATGTAATGTCAAATGAACAACAAGACATATCTTTGTATCGTATAACTTGAGGCATCATTGTTTTATCAATACAACTCTCTGAAAGCTAATTGTAACAGTGGTGAAACTACAACTATTTATGCGAACGAATAGCATAGTCACTTATCAACCACCTGTCGATAAACGAATATGCTGAAAATACAATTTTACAACTATTGAATTCCAGCTACCATACACTTCTAGCGAAAAATGGCGGCACATGAAAGTTTACTCTGTAACTAATATAAGCTAAGTCTGTGAATAAAACACGATTCAATACCAAAAAAAAATATCTAAAAACAGTGTTTGCAGATGACGCAAGGATTCAATCCATTACAGTGTGTCTTATGACTGTATCATTGTTTGAACAAACAAATAAATTGAATAGTGTAACACTCGAAATACTTCGATTCACCAGCGGATTTGGCTATTTAAATTTTATGTAGTGTGCATACTAACTGATTTTTAAAGTTTCTATAAAGTGAGTTATTAGTTATATCTGTTCTGGGTTTACTTTTGATGAGATATCTGTTTAGGACATTTTACAATATAAGAGTAAAGATTCATGCATACCAATTGTAAGAGTCGGTGACCAGTGGGTCAAACGGGTACCCTAATTTGTGAGGCCTAGTGTGAGAGCCGCAGCGGGCGAGTCTCAGACAGGACGAAACGCTCGTCCTGGGTCCCTCTGATAGTCACCAAGATCAATATAACACGGATGTCCGGCAGTATGGAGTTCGTGTAGGAGCCCATATGTCAACAAAGGTTGAGCAATCCGGCCCTGTATAGCAAAAAGAAATTACGACATGAGTTCTTAATGTCAGATGCATACTCTTGAAAAAAACTTCCTAGCAAGATAGAAACGTTGAGGGATAGTACAAATATTTGTTTATATTGTTATTTGTTCTAATATTCTACGCCGGGATGACACAAGTAAAAATACACCTTATACGACAGATGGAATCAATTGTTACTCGGATTCAATTAAAAAATTGTCTATCTGTACGATTATACTGCGTAGATAATAATATGAGGCGATAGTTTAAATAAAACAATAGGAAGGTGTTTTATGAGAGCTGGATGAAATTAACTAAGAAACATAATACGAGGAATAATAGCAAAACAGAATGTTAATCATATTGGGGGGATAAAACAGGTTAAGAGAATTTTTAGAAATTATCTCACATAATAGGGATGGAAGAGTATATACAGTAGGATGCTAAGAAATTTCGGAATCCCAAGTCAGATCACAACAGTTATAGTGGCAACACTTCTTTATCTTGAACACACAACTCAGGTTGTTTGACCCTGATTGCTACTGCTTCTTCAGTTTGCAAAATGCTGTCCTGATAAATTCATAAGGAAACATTTGATTACATAAATAGCAAGCAGAAAACCGCTATACATTCGTCTACAATTTAGAGGTTCGGCGAAGAGGACCCTCCCTTTTCAATGAATTTATTCTCAAGCAGAACATTCTTATATATATAATATTTAGATTGTAGTCCATGAGGGAAGATTTAACTTAAATAATGGGGGGTTGAAATAATAAAAATGATTTTGCTAGTTGATGCTGAAAAGGTCGAATAATTACAGAAAAGGGATTTTTAAATCGTTTATAAAGTGCATACAGATTACAAAGGGGGTGAAGACGTGGTAGAGTTAGTAAAAAAATTAAAGGATTAGGTGATATGAACGAGACAATAGGTTAATTGGAATAAATTGGAGATTTCTGGTTAAAAGTTGCAGTCATTAAGAAGATCAAATGAAATATCACCGAAAACCATTAAATTTAAAAATAAGAATGATAATGACGATATAAGAGTACAAAGGTTAGTCTAACAAAAGGGGAAGTTGAAAAAACAAAGAAGAGACGAAGCACACCAAGACCATAATAAGTTACAGCCAAGGTAGAGACAAAGACTGTACCTACTTCTTTTGCACACGAAACTCAGACTTCAGTTCATGAACAGCCAAGGCCTGTGTTGTTTTTCGAGGTTGAACACGGAGGGAACGTGAGTTTGATAAACAACTTTAAAATCATTGTTTGGATCGGTTGCATGGTTGGAATAGATTAAACGTTCAAGGATAGAACTTCTGGTGCATTTCCTTTCACTCTGATAAAGCCAGGCAGGAATATACTCTCGCATACGTGTTGACAGCAATCTCTGACTACGGCCGATGTACCTTGCTCCATAGGAGCAGGTGAACTGGTAGATACATATGGATGTGGTTTGTTGAGGAATATTGTCTTTTATATAAACGGGGAATGATTTACGTCTAGTGAAGATCAAATGAAGTTTGGCTAGGAAAAAGGTTCTACTAATTCATGTGGAAAGACGATTTTCCAGGAGATCTGATGTTGCATCACCTTTAAATTCTAGATTCATGAACAAAGTCTTCTTGTAAACCGAGCAGATCACTGGTTTCACCTCCAATTAGAGAGAGATTCATCGAATTCGAGGGAAAGTGAAGTAATTAGGTTACCGGGGTAAAGAAAGACTTATCACTGAGCACAAATTTATCCCCTAATTATTAAATATAGAGCCTCTAACTGTTGCGGATAGTCGTCCGACTTGACACTACTATCTCGGGTGGATCTGCTTGGATAAATCTTACAGAAAGTAACTGACAAGAAACCGATGTAGTAAAACAATAATGCTAATAAATAATACAAGACAACGTGTTACTTACCAAATCCTCCGTCAAGCTGTCTATACGTTAGTTTTATTGACGTCAAGTGCAAAAGAACTCCAAATAAAAGCAAGCAATATCTATACTGGGTAATGATTGAAGGTGAGATGAAAATCTAGTCTGTCAAACTACGGCTACCTCAGATAGTCAAATGAAAAGTGATATCATTACTTTTAAGGTAGTATTCGTCACGAGCTGACAATGGATGGAGAATCATTGGGAATCTGGGAGCACGGAATAGCCGTTTCGTCCTAGTACGGGGTTCTTGAGCAACACGCACCGATGATGCCGTCAGAGATCGAACTCAACTTGGTTGACCATACAGGTCACATTTTCTCATTCATCATCATCATTATCAACATAGGACCAGGCATTACTGCGTAACGGTCTGAGTTGCCACACCTCATATCATTTTCTCATTGAAAAGGATGAAGAAAATGCCAACTTATAGCCTTAGGTAGATAGTCATGCTATATTGCGAATTGACAAAAGTAAGTTAACTGTAAAGCATTGAACTCCGATCAAATGGCTGAATGGTTAACGCGCTTGCCACGATATATGAAAGCTATGAGTTCCATTCCTGGTAGAGTCGTGAGTGCGCATTGTTAAGTAGTCCCATATTAGGATGAAACAGCTGTTCAGTGGATTAAATAAATCCCTAAAAACCTCAAACTGAAGTGAATCATTGTTCAATAGCATTGTCAACGATTAGCCGGAAGTTAATTAAAAAATATAATTTGATGTACACAGTTTATATTGTACAACTGGAATATGAAAGAAGTAAATAAACTCTAGCGCGAGTCCATATATTCACAGTGTTGAGGGCTTTAAAATATTTATATTTTGTTTCCAAGCTTTACCACCGACACCTAGTTGAGCATCAGGATTCGATGGAAGACATGGCATTAAATTGATCTCTGCTACTAGCGAAACAGATTTTGAATCAACAGTTGAAGGATTCGATTGTAATACAGACTGTGTTTCCGCTGAAGGATCCATATTCTCTGACAATACAGTTGTGTTGACTGATTGATAACTTTTTGAATTGGATAAATAAAGATAATATCCACGTGAAACAACTGTATCAGGAGTTGAAACAAGGATGGTATTAGCTTGGCATGGATCTTCACTTGATTCATTTTCATCTAAACAAGACGCATCAAAGAAAGAGGGATTTTTTTCATTTGAAGGTAATGAACATGATGAAGCCTTATTACTTGCGTGAACTGAATGTATATGTCGATCCAAATTAAACCTAGAAAACAAAGAAGTACAGAATTATAGCTTCTAATACACAATGCATTAATTTAAATCTTGAAGAAAAGAGGCAACCATTGAGTAGGCATTTTGAACCGACTATCTATTTTAAGAGTTCGCCTAGTCTTATCAACAGTGAACAATCAGGTCTGACCCCTCCTTGATTGGCATAGACTGCCTGCTCACACTATTCAGTCAGGCAACCGATGATTCTAAATCTTAGAAACTGTCATTTAGGTTAACAACCTGTCCCTACGGTAGGAAAGCTTTCTTTTTTCTGATGATAAAATGACTGAAACCAGTCAGAGGGTACTATGCCGGAGAAAATCGGAAAGCAGGCGTAGGTTTCATGATAGAAATTTATTCAGCCAATCCGAAAACCTGCAAATCTAGCCAACTCATGCACGCACAGTTAAATGAGGTAGTGTTATGAGCTTAGAGGTACACTGTCATTTACTGTGAGGTTTGGAAACATTTTAAAAGTGCGCCAGATTATACAGTATGATTTGAAAACAAATTTGAGTGGCTAAAACAAATCCAAAAGTAATTTTATGTAATATATGCGGTACATTTGCTAGCTGGAAATTTATGTACATCATAACAGAATTAGAAATTTTCAACACCAGTAAGTAGTACTCATGTTACACTACTTCTAATTCAAAAGTTTACGAAATTCCTGGGTTTCGGTACCTTCTTAATCTTTGCTTTTGCTAATGTCAAACGTTTTGAAGTCGACCTTTCTACATGGTTAGAAGACAAACTAAACTTTTTGAAACAATTGGTTAGTACACAAACCTACTAAATGGCTATCACATTGGTCCTAAAAGAGAAGTTACAAAAAGTGATATTCTGTCACAACATCTAGCTAGAGTAGTCAATAGGACGTTTTATGCAGGTCGGCCTTGTATATTATTCAGCAGTCGGCCAATGTTCAATCCAAATACAAAGGATAGCCTACCTAATCTCAGCTCTTCATCCTGCATGTATTCATTTAACTATTCCTGTGGAACTAGCTATATAGGGCGTACGATTAGGCAGGTGCGTCTCCGGATCCGAGAGCCTTTACCAGCTTAGTTTGGAAAAACCGAGATGAAAGTGGTGAGAAGTTCAGTCCTAGCGCGCCTAGTAGACACAGGGCATAATGCAGATGCTGATCAAATTTTCATGTCATTCATAGTATTCCGAAAACCATACCACATATAGCTCGTCAAAGCCTGTTCAACATAGCAGAGTGACTGTCGCTATAAGGTTGATCAAACCTGAACTGTGCATTCAGAAAGAACAGATCCAAGCGTTACTTCTCCTTTGGCCTTCGGTAAACGAAAGGTCGCTTTTGTTTTCTTTATGAGTTATCGTTTTGTTCACGACCACACTATTCATCTGTATACGTATCATCCCAATATTGACAAATTCCTACAAGAAAAATCAATTTCCTAACAATCCCTACATCTCATGGGCAAGACTAAAAGTTATCCCCGGGTGTTATAGCATTCTGTCTGAAAATATATATATTATGTGTTGTGTATGCATATATTCTGCAACCATAAATCCTCTTGAATGCAATTTGAGAAGTAAACTAACTCATTGTGAGCGTTATTCATTCTGAATAACTGTACTTACACCATCCGTCTAAGAAGTGGAAGTGTAGCTAACACTCTGTACATGAATAAACGGTATGAAACATGATTCAGTGACAGACGGCAATGTAAAGACTATGGAAATAGGTAAAATATTCATTCGTAGAGGACACAAAAAATGTATTTTCATAAAAAACCCTACAACCTATGTGGAGGCACGATAACTACCTGGAGGAGATAACTTGTCGCCTCACCCAACCTTACCCCTAACATAGCTTGATTTCACGAAGAGTACAAATGCATATTATAATCGTAAAACCTAATGTAAATTTATTGAAAAGAATATTATTCTACTTTCAGAATTTTGCTTTTTATTAATGTTTTGAGAATCTTTAGTCGTTGTAAATCTTAAAAAGTGATTCGATCGTACACCAAAGAAAGTTAACAACTGGAAAGTTTAATTTTGATGACAATATACATAACCTAAAGATTATGATATTTATCAGTGTTTAGAGATTAATACCATGGTAGTTACTTTTTTTAAAAACCATGAGATAAAGATGACAAACGGTGTAAATTAAAAAAAACACCACCATGATGGTTGATAGAAGGTTCTGAAAGCAGATAATGCTTGCATTTTCAGCTAAAACTAACTAACTGACTATATATAAAGTAAATTATAACAATGGTTGAGAACTTAGTACGAAAAAGAGTAAAGAGGAAAATAGGAGACACAGAAAGATATGAAGATTCAGATTAGGATAAGAGATGAATGCATCGACATAAATAAGAAAACTTTTGAGTTATGCCACCTAATGTCGTCAACCCATTATTTCCGTTGTCTTGCAGACCACAGTCTAGAAGTCTTCACTTCTTTCAAAGACGACTTGAAGAAAGGGTTAGTGATTCTATGAATGAGTATTATTTCTTGACCTGGCCATAGTTAGATTTATCCACGCTACACCTACTTTAGCTAATACTGAGCATTAGAGTAGATAGTGGATCGGCATACATAACACACGTTTCAGAGGCTTCAGTCAATTTATAACTCATCCTTGTTTCATCCGTAATAAGAATTAAGGCATATTACTGTAGGAAACGAGAAGATTGAGAGTCAGGAAGGGATGTTTATTAATGATATCTTGTACAGTAGTCATCAAATATTGTACACCTTCTACTAAGACAGTCATATACACAATGTATTTCATTTCATTTTCTGCTACTATCTTGATTTTCTCATAAAATGCTCACATTGCCTCTTGCGTTTCTCTGTGCAGGATCTTTACCCATTGCTAATAGTTCTTTATGATTTCTGCCACCCCCTCAACATATACTACTTATATTCATTCTAATCGACAGCGTCCACTACATTACTATCCACCGAAATGAATTTATTCTCAGTTCATAAATACTTCTGTATAGATAGATGATGCTTCAGATAAATTCCTATTCTAGGATATAAAACTGTTACAACATCCAATATGTACGCCCAGGAATCTCTAAAGAAGCTGTAACTTGCTGAAAACACTTAGAACTAATCGTATTACACAGTAATCCACTGAAAGTTTTATGACGATGTGTGTAAATATCAACAAGTTAAAAGGAAAAAAACGCGCAAAATGAAGCAATGTTTTGTACAAAACTTAATCTTTTAATATAATTTGTTCTCTGTTTACCGCATACGGGATTCCTCAACAAGTGAAAAGTTGAATCAACTAAAAGCTGATAGTTATCATATACAAGTTCCAATGTAGATATTCATATCCATGCTATATAAGAAACATTATATTAAAGGATATTACAAAAGATTTTGAAAAAAAGTAAGCTAGACAATACGTACAAATGCATAACTTACCTATTACTAAGATTTTTATTGCATATAGGACATGTTAAACTAGCATTATGATTATGAACTTGATTAAAATGTGTTGTTAAATTTCCTTTTGTACTGAACAATGAATCTAACAATAGATAAATAGGTGGAAATAACTAAGAATGAAAATGTTCAATGGTAGACAAACAAATTTATATCAAAGCCAAGTAATAAAAAGTTATGCTAATATCTTCGATGACTATACACTCAATAAGTGACTGTCAAATAAATGTCATATGAATACAGACAATTATAAAATCTACACGAACCTCCAAATTGTAAATTATTGTCAAGTGATCATTAGGGACTTGCATCTTGATAAGATTCCCCAAAGTTTTAATGATAAATCGTCACCAGCGGAGTAAACCAAGTTGAACATGAAGACAAATACCTTTTGATGACATTGGATGGAGATCAAGCTATATCGCCAAATGACAGAAGTAGGAAAATGTGGACCGTTAAATTCTTACCAAGTGGTTTAGTGGTAACGTGATCGCCACAAGCTCGTCAGTCGACCTCCCTGTCTTGCTTAGTAACTATATGCTCAACATTGCTCACATGGTGATTCCATCATACGTGAGCAATGCTACAAGGACACCTATAGTCGAAAAACTGTAATTGTTTCATGTCTCCTACAATGTTTCCCAGTCATACAACAGGATGCAACGGACTGCAGCGTATTATACTCGCGCTTTGATAGATAGCTGGATATCTCACCGACGCCACAGGTGACACAAGTTGGCAAATGCCAAAAGGGGCCTTCAGTATCCAAGTCTCAAACTCAACACCTCCAAAGGCCTAATAGTTAATTTTAGCTTACAATTTGAGTAGGATCTATATGAATTGCTTCAGCTCCATGACTTTCATTTCATAAACGGTTCTGTTGTAGGGAATGTGACAAGATTGCTCCATCTCGGCTTATGTTTTGCGTCTGACCTTTCTTGGTCCCCTCATATTTTACTGATTTCTAGAAAAATTCTTCGCTTAACCTTTGATATAAGAAAACCCAAACTGTATTGATTGGTCACGAGAGTGCAACCAGTTTCATATTGTCTAGTCCTGAGTGCAGACCGAATCCTACCGATCATATTTGCAGAGACGCCTTGCTGACAAGTACCAACAAGCACAAAACTTAGGTCCAGGGCCTACTACTGCCGATTGCCTCCAGCCAATATCTACTAAAGAAACAAAAACTGTCTGGCATAACTCAACCTCTACTTCTACATTTGATTAATTCTTATGTTTTGCCTATACTTACTTCTTGTTCCTTCTTATTCTTCCCTGGATTCCGTTAAAAAAAGACTACGTTATATTGTGTAAGATTTTGGAGGATGTTATTAGAGGAAGTGCTACACCACTGACCATGCTGATAAATGAGGTCGTAGATAGGCCTGTGAACTCTTGTAGACTACTGGCTAAAAATATTTTACCTGATGATAAGCATTGTCTGCATTCGCACTTCTCTTCTCCAGATCTGTTCACAGAGAACACAAGAAGTAAATATATCAAGCTTTATGCACGCACAACTACATACAAAAATTTACCTATACAACCTTATTTACCTTGTGTATTATGTGAAGAAAGTCATGTTAGACAGAATCTTATCAATCAACTTTGCACTAGCCAACCGTCATCATTTCTCTGAAGTCATTAAACATTTCAACTATCATGTTATTCTTCTTTATGTATTGCTAAACAGCACCATTATTAATATATATATATTTGAAAAATGTTGTACGACGAGTAAACTTATGCAATATCACACGTTAAAATTCTGTACTGTAAACAAATTATGGTTCAGAATAAAATAAATACATAATTGCATTTTTGAGATGAATGGGGATTTTTAATTTAGAAGTAGTATTCATCATTAGTGACTTGCTTCCAGGCGGATGTCAGGAAGTTCTAATGAGAAGGCGTGACCTGTGGGGTCAACCAGTCCGAAGTGAAGTGGATGCTAACTGAAGACCTTAGGTGACAGTCGCGCTATGTCGTGGATTGACAGAAGTTGGAAATTGTGGACCACTGAAAACCGACACGGTGGCTGAATGGTTAACGCATTCGCTGTGAGACCTGAAGATTCTGAGTTCGATCCCTAGCCGGATGGTGGGCGCGTACTGCTGAGGAGTCCCATATTGGGACGAAACAGCTGTCCAGTGCTTTCAGCGTTTTCAATGGTTCCCCAACTGATGTCAGTCCATGATGAACACTACTTCGAAACACATTATCACTACTACTATTATTATTTTTAGTATTGAAACTTACTACAATCTTGACAAATGAATTTTTTGCCTCGATGAACATTCTTTAAATGTTGTTGATATTGAGCTGGTGTTTTGAAGTGAACTTTACACTTCTGTAGAAAAAAAACCACAACAAGATAAATAAACGAATAAATACACTATTGAGTACACTAAACAAATGATTAGGATGTTTAAAGAATGTAGCGTTGACCTACAGTTTATTGGTTTAGGCAATTAACAACCAAAAAAGTGAGTCTAGGGTGAGAAACCCTGAATTTACAAATTGGTCACATTTTTTCCGCATGGATTTCCAATTATCATAACTTTGAAAAATAATAACATAAATGTGTAATGTGTTGAGTAAATTAAACATAATAGCTACAAATATAGGTTCTTATATAGTATATGTGAGCAATATCCTTTTGGAATGTATGATTTTATCAATTCTTACCGGCGGGTTGACTGACTGACAAAATGAACGTAGAACCTTGCACAGGAGTGCATCAGCTCAATTTACCACACTTCACAGTAATACACAAACAACAGACGGATAGAAGATAAAGTTGTGTGAAAGAATAAACAATTTGAAAATAAAGTTTAGTGTGAATATTCAAGATTTAGAAGATTCCAAGAAATGAATATATTTGCTCCATTGTGACGGGTTTTCAGCCATCTCATCAAGAGTCTCTAACCGCTGACTCCTTTTGTCTTGGAGACCCCAACCAGGCAGTCTGCATCCCCCCCCCCCCACACTACTCAGGCGAACAGTCAGGGACTTAATGGACGGGTGCCAGGTTTTAGTCTGGCCATCCCGAACGCTCTCTCAACTTCCCGTAGCATGTCGCGTCGAAGTAGACGGATTGACTGAATATCGGGTTTTGATTGATTTTTTTAATTTCTATGGAAACATCTCAATCCCACCTTAAGTAAAGAAATCCTGCTATACGAAGTTCCATGGAATATTTCAACCCTTTGTGACCGACTTCCGTATGATCAAGGTTGATACATGAAACCCAATTTTACGGCTTATAGAATTAAAATAATATTGTTTAACGATGGTTATTAAATTCTATACAGTGTCATGGAAAGATGACACTCAGAATGCAGAAGTCAGATGGATAACGTCTGGATGTATGCAGAGAGAAGGGTTTGTATTCGAGCCCAAGTGGAAACATGAGGACACTGTCGTATGTCTACACATCCAGCCGCCAAATTTTGAAACAGGAAGAAAGGTGTGGCTTAAAATGAATTGCTGGCTATAACTTAAAGTGTTACACTTGTTCCAGAACAGGTTATGCTGTGGTTGAATTTCAGGGTAGTATTCATCATAGACTGACACCAGCTGTAAAATCATTGAAAACACGCTGAGGAGTCCCATGTTAGGACGAAACACCTGTCAAATGCTCTCATGTTTTCAGTGTTTCTCAGTCTATAAGGAATACCAACCTGAAATCAATGGAATCCCAAAAACCCTCCGACCAAATTGAAATATGGTTAAATTGTTAGATTACTCGTATAAAACTGTAACAGAAAGAATGATACACCTTTTAGTTTTAATTTTCAACAAATATTAAACATCGAAAAGTATTAGAACACAAAAATGGTTCATTATCATTCTTATCATTAGTACTAATGGTAATAATAGTAACTAATTAAAATGCTCAGCTTTAATATATAATCCATATAAAATATCATCATGTAAAAATATTCTACTGATAGTGATATTTCAGCCAACTTTATTAACTTGGACAATTGATAAATAATGCCAATAATTCAAAGCCTACAATTGAATAACGACCGATAGTGTAGATTGAAGTACAAGAGCAAGGTCTTAAGTGATAACAATCATCATTTTGACAGTATTCGTTGTAGAAGACTGAAAGACTTTTAATCATATCAGAATCAAAGAACACTGATTTATTAAAAGGAATAAGAAAATTAAGAAATATAGTGAATGTTTATCAATATATAGAGTAAAAAACGCACCAAAAGGTGAAACTAGACTTTCTAACATCTAAGTATAAAAGAGTGTATTGATACTACGACGATTTATGATGCAATTATCAACTGGAGAACCAAAACATCAAGGGAGATACTTCAGAATCATCTTAAGCTCAGATAATCGAATAGAAACATTCTAAACTAATTGGATGGTATTAGTTGGTTGGAGGCAATCGGCAGGAAGCCCTGCATGACCTCGGTTTCGTGCTTTTTGGCACTCGTCAGCAAGGCATATCTGCAACCTGGACGGAACTCATGTCCCGCCTGAGATTCGAACCCACGTCACCCAGTGTTGTAGTCAGCCAGTCGCGGCCGAATAGCTCAGTGGTAAAGTCGCTGACTACAACACTGGGTGACGCAGATTCGAATCTCAGGCGGGGCATCAGTTCCGTCGAGGTTGCAGATATGCCTTGCTGACGAGTGCCAAAAAGCACGAAACCTAGGTCCAGGGCTTCCTGCCGATTGCCTCCAACCAACTAGTATCTAATAATGTGCACCACGATGCTGAGCTTCCTAGCTTGGTTGCCACATTGCAAATATGATCGATAGAATCCGATCTGCACTCAGGACTAGACAACATGAAATTGGTTGCACTCCCGTGACCAATACATAATTGGATGGTCTCAGTACGTTGACGAATAAGAAAAAAAGGTCAAAACTGACAAATTCTGAAATTATGAGGTTTTATTAAATTTTGAGGGGGTTGTGGAGATTTGGAAATACTTCAAGTTGTTATTCATCGAAGACTGACATCAGTTGGAGGAACAAAGGAAACCTGGGAGCACTGGACAGCTGTTTCATCCTAGTATGGGACTCCTCAGCAGTGCGCACCCACGACCCCACCAGCAGGGATCGAACCCGCGACCTTCAGGTCCCGCGACCAGCGCGTTACCATTGAGCCACTGGGTCACAATCCAATGCTACATATTTCCAACTTCTGTTAGCTCACGATATAGCGCAAACCGCCACCCAATGTCATCGTTGAGTATTTGTCCTCACGACCATCAGGCTTTGACTCCACCGGTCACAACTTGTCATTGGAACTTCGGGAATACTTCTCGAAGCTAGTCACCAACGAGCACTAGTTCAATTAAATTTTGAGGGGGTTGTAGAGATTTGGAAATATTTCAAGTTGTTATTCATCGAAGACTGACATCAGTTAAAGGAACAAAGGAAACCTGGGAGCACTGGACAGCTGTTTCGTCCTAGTATGGGACTCCTCAACAGGTCGCGGGTTCGATCCTTGCTGGTGGGGTCGTGGGTGCGCACTGCTGAGGAGTCCCATACTAGGACGAAACAGCTGTCCAGTGCTCCCAGGTTTCCTTTGTTCCTCCAACTGATGTCAGTCTTCGATGAATAACAACTTGAGAGATTTTATTAGTTAATATTTTCAAAAATGGGGCCAGAAGATTATATCAAACTTAGAAATTGCTGCACCGCAATATGAGTCGATATGTTTCTTTTACTTATGCTGTTACGCAACAGCGTAATCGAATGATTGCGCAAGAGAACTGTTTCCACAATGAAATTTTGTAGTAAGTGAACTACTGGATTACCAAATAAGTAACGAAGGTACTTCTAATTCTTGTTTGATCATTGAAAAACAAAAGGTAGTGGTTATAGCGAAGATAATTCATCTTTTCGACGACTTATTTGTGAATATATAAGTAAAATGACATAATGTTCCGGACAATTTTCCCATCAAAAGTAAAAATAAATAAATATGTAAAGAATCAATGTGGTTTGAGGCTAATGGAGATTTTATTTTTAAGGCAGTACTCATCACGGACTGATATCAGTTGGTAGGGACCATTGATAACCTCGGAGCACTGGACGCCTGTACGCGCCAGTACACACTCATGACCAAGCCCTGTTAGGGATTAAACTCACGACCTTTAGGTTCCGAGACGAACGCGTTATCTATTTAGCCACTGGGTCGGAGTTTAATGGTGCTCACACTTTCCTACTTTTGTCAGTTCGTGGTAGAACATGACTATTCATCAAGTTCTTCATTTGGCATCCGGTTCACTTCCAACTGGTTGACTTCACAGGTCATGGTTCCTCACATCCTTGGATGGTAAAACTGCGTTCGCTGTGAAACCAAAAAGTCCTGAGTCTAATCCCTGGCGGAATTGTGGGTGATTACTGTTGAGGAGTCCCATGCTTTGACGAAGCAGCTGTCCAATGCTCCCATATATTTACTGGTTTTCCAACCAACGTCAATCGTCGATAAATACTACCTTGAATATAAAGAATTATATAAATATATCAGTAGGAACATAACTAGAGGTGCCCACTATCAGATGAAAGCCACGGTAAAGAAGGTAATTGTGCACATTTCTTTTGAATACATAATTGAAGTTTGAAGCTGTTCATTGTCAAAGCTTCCGCTATACACAAGTGTCTAATTCTCACCCCATTTTGAACGGTTTGGTCGAACTTTGTAGAGAACTTTGAACGTGGTTTCCTGAGGATTTACATATAAAGTCTTCAGATACTCTCTTAACCGTGGCTTTCATCAAATAGTTTGCACCTCCGTTTACGTTATTATTATTATTTGTCCCTTGGGTTCCTAATGGAACATACGGCTTCAGTAGCACGTCTCCATTGCACTCTGTTCTCTGCAAACGTTTGAACCTGGCTCCACAACAGCCCACAAGCTCTCACTTCCTCCTCGCACGATCTCCTCCATGTCACCCTCACTTCGGACGCCCAACTCGTCGCTTCCCATCTGGCTTCCATTCTGGGGCCTGACGCGTGATGTCCCCACTCGGTCTTCTCAGTGCATGCCCAATCCAATCCATCTCCACTTCCTTCCAGTGCATATTTGTTGAGTGATAGGTTCTTGCTTCGTTGATTCGTTGCCACAGTGAGTTCCTTCTTGCTTATTCTCATTGTTCTGACCATCTGATCTCCATCTTCAGTAACGAGCCAGCGTACATAGTTGTTAATGAATGTCTGCAGTTTGTTGGAAACGCTTTTCGTGACGCGCCAAGTCTCTGAGCCATACAGAAGCACTGATTTGACTGACATTGGTGTTGAAAATCCGGATGTTGTTCACGCTTTATGCTGAGTGCAGAAGATCTCCACACTGATTTCAGGCTAATGAACGCCTGTCTTTCTGTCTTTCCGATCCTGACTTTGACTTCCTTGTCTGTGCCTGTGCCGCCTGCAGTTGAAACAGTGCTGTCTAGGCGGGTGGGTGGAAGAGGCTACTTCCTTCACGTTTCCCCCGTTGATGGTGATTGGAGCTTGTTGTTGGTGGTGGTGTTGGTTGGGTATCTTCATCACCTCTGTCTTTTCTATATTCACTTCAAGTCCCGTCTTCGCTGCCTTGCCTCTTCCCTCAACTTGTTAGTTTTCGCCTGTACATCTTCAAGTTTGTGCGACATCAGAAACAAGTCATCAGCGAAATCCAAATCTTCTAGGTTCTTTTCCCCGATCCAGGGTATCCCCCTCTTCTCGCTCCCCACGGTTTGCTGCATGATCCAGTCGACCACAATCAGGAATATCATGCGGGATAGTAGACAACCTTGTTTCACTCCTGTCTTCACTTCAAAAGCATAACTGAGCTTCCCATTGTGGATCACTTGGCATGTGGCATCTTCATATAGTTGTTGAATGAGGTTGATAAAGGTTTGCGGTATTCCGTAGTATCGAAACAGTTTCCAAATTACCTCTCGGTCGACACTGTCAAAGGCCTTCTCAAAGTCGACGAAGTTGTTTTAGAGGGTAGACTGCCATTCTATACTCTGTTCTGTGATGATGCGAAGCGTTGCATTTTGGTCAGCACATGATTTGTTCTTCCTGAAGCCTGCCTGTTCTGGTCGTAGTTTTGAATCCAGCGCATGCTTCAGTCTCTCCAAGATGATGCGGCTTAATATTTTGATTAAGGTGGACAGCAGCATGATTCCACGTCAGTTCTTGCAAATACTGAGGTCTCCCTTCTTCGGCAGTTTGACAACGTAACCCTTCTTCCAACCAATGGCCAGGTACCTTCTCTTCCTTCCACACCTTCTGCAATAGTGGTGTGAGCATGTCGGCTGTGGTCTCTGCGTCCGTTCTCAGTGCTTCTGGCGGGATCCCATCTGGTCCTGCTGCTTTCCCGCATTTCAGTAGCTTTATGGCGTTCAGAACTTCCACTTTTGTTGGAGGATTTATGTTCACTTGTAGTTCAGCGGCTGGGTTGCTAGTGGTATTTCTGGACGAAGTGCAGGTGGTGGTGGTGGTCGATTCAAGAGCTTCTTGAAGTGGTCGGCCAGCTCATTGTTTCCTTTGTTTCTCTTCTTTCGTAATTAGATTTCCTTCATCATCTTTTATTGGTTTTGTCTATGTTGATCTCTTTCCAGATGGATAGTAACCTGGTTATTTGATACAATGTTGTCAGGTCTCTATCTCTCCTACCTGCAGCCTGTTCTGCTGCACTTGCCAGTGTTTCGTAGAAGTGTCTTTTGTCTTTGCGTGCACTCTTCTTCACTTCTTTGTCCAGTGTTTTGTACATTGTACCCAGTTCCTCTTGTCGTTGAGCATCCATGCACTGGTTTATCTTCTGCTTCACCATCCTACTCTCCCTACTCTATCAGCTTCCATGTATCCGTCGAGATCCATTCCTTGTCTTCTTTCTTCTTCCTTCCTAATACGGTTGTGCAGGTTTCTTTCCACATAGCTTTCAAAGACTTCCAGTGTTCTTCTACACAGGTTTCTTCAGGGATCTTCCTCGATATCTCCCATTTTGTCTTGATGGCTGACTGATGTGAAGATATCCTTTGTAGTTTCATCCTTCAGTTTCCGAGTGTTGTACTTGAACTGTGGTCTATCACCAACTTCCTTGAGGGCTTTCAACTTGATTTGGAAGGCAGGTTCCTTGCACTAGACAGTGAGTGGTCTGAACCTACATCTGCTCCTCTTCTTGACCTTGTGTCAAGTAGGCTGACTGCGTCTTCACTTTATTCACATTGAGATAAAGTCGATTTGATTTTTAGTGTGTCTTGGTGTCTGGTGAAATCCATGTCGCTTTGTGGATATCCTTGTGCTTGAACACACTGCCTGACTCCAATCACCAAATCATTGAATGCACAGAATTCTGCAAACAATTCTCCATTCTCGTTCATCACCTCACCGAGCACTTCTCGACCCATGGTTAGTTCCCTTCCTGTGTTGTCCCCTCCCAGTTTGGCATCATGTCACCCATTAGAATTTTGATATCGCCAGCTAAGGTGGAGTCTTGTCTAGTGTTGATTTAAGTTGTCTGTAGAATTCCTCCTTTTTCTCTTGCTCTGCATTATTTATAGGTGCGTAGTATTAGCATTGTATGATTGTGACCTTCCTTCCTTTTGAGTTGAATCTTGCTGTTATGATCCTGCAAGAGGAGATTGGTTCCCACTGCATGAGAGCCTTCGATGCTCTTGGGGACATCATGATAGCCACTCCAAGACCAAGTGTGCACGTAGTTGTCGTCTGGGTGACAATACCGGAGTAGATTATTGATTTTCCACTTGAAAGTTTGGAGAGTCCACTCCCATTCCATCTGCTTTCGCAAATTCCAGGCACTTCAATGTGATACCTTCTCATCTCCTTTGCAATCTGGGCTGCCTTGCTGGGTTCAAACATGGTGCAGACATTCCATGTCCCCACGTTTACTTTCGCTTTCATCGAGGGAGAGAAGACACATCGGCCAATTGGCTTCCCGAAGGCTTTCACCAACTGGCGTCATTTCGCCTCTCCGATTCCAGCGAGGAATAATTTTGTTTTTATTTTTTATATTTTGTTTGTGCTTTGAAGTTTCGTTAGCGGTTAGATTTGTTTTACGGGGTAGGGTTGCTAGCCCTTTGCCCAACCTTCCCTCTTTACCCGGCCTTAGGACCGGTTAGCAACTAGTGAACTAGTTAACCAGGCGGGGTTCCGTTTATGTTTTATCTTTCTATTTTATTCATTCATATAATTTTTCATATTTTGAGGTGAATGGGGATTTTTATTTTTCAAGGTAGTACTCATCATGGGCTGACATGTTTTTATATATATATATATATATATATATATATATATATATATATATATATATATATATATATATATGAGACACGTCAGCGAGATGTACCCACCTCCTAGAGAGTGATGTTTTAATTAGGACTTGAATGCAGGACCAATAGCTCCCAACGCCAGTCCTTGTACGAAGGGTAAAGTATAGTGTTCGATGTTATAATTTGTGAATCTCTGTTGTTGATTGGACCGAATTAATCGGTCAATATTGGGATAAGAGCTCCACCGTGCATGCCTCGATAATGTCGGCATTTTACAAACTCGATATTTATGATGAAAAGTGTCCTGTAGTAGAATCTAAGACGCGGAAAGTTGTCTGGAACATCCTATCATCTTAGCTATTTATTTACAAATGTAAAGCTGTGAAAATGAGTCTTTCGAAAGATAATCTTATAATTATTGAGAAGAAGTAGTTACAATTGAAATGGTTGATAAATTGGGGTTATATTTATTACCTATTCTGCTGAAGAAGCTATCATATGATGTACGAAGCAAAGTAATCATCATAACAATAGTAATCAATTAAAATAATATAAAACTCCATATCACCATAGAACACCAATCGAATAATAAGAAACATACTGTACAGACACGCTGCCTATTCCCGGTACTAACATAAGTTGAGGATGAATTTGTAGAAGTAGGATTTAAAAGAGTTTCACACTTTTCAAGTTGAGTTTTATTATCACAGTCCAGCGTTCGGAATTCATCACTACCGTCGGCTTCATGATTAGTACAATCTTTGATAGAAATCAAGTTTGAAACAGAAGTGTTCGACACAGAAGATAATTTAAAACCTGTAATCAGAAAAATCAATCATGAAATAAGTGACATTTTTCCAAAAAGAGAGAAATATCTATTGAAAATCATTTCGAATTAGGTTTTCATCAAAAATTCTTTCGCTTAAGTCTACCAATTAGCGAAGGGTATTAGGTGAGGAAGGTGAGTCAGTCGATGAGATTGTGAGCCTTCAAAGACTAAAGTGAAAGACAGACAGAATCAAAGTAGGACATCACATAAAAGTGCATCGGTCCAAGTCGCCGTACCTCATAGTAGTATACAAAAAAGGGTGGATCGAAAAAGACTCATATCAAAGTAGACAAATTTGTGAGAGAATAAACGTTATTGCTAATATTCTACTTTAGAACACGTCAAGGAGTGAAAACACCTACGCAACTGCAACCGACTTGCAGCCATGTCGCCAAGAGTTGTAAACCGCTGATACCTATTGTCGCTGGTACCCTAGCGAGGTTGTCTACATCTCCCAACACGGCTCAGATCAACAGTTAGGGACTTCATTGACTGATGACACACCTTAGTATAGCAACCCTGAACCCTCTTCCAACTTACCCTAGCATGGCACGTCAAAGTAGGCGGTTAACTCGGCATGCCCAGCGCATATTCAAGCCATATCACTAGATGAAACTTTACAACCTCATCGATTGACTTGTCTTTCTTCTCTGGAACCCTTTAAGTGACCACTGCGTTGCCAACATGGCGATTTCACCTTACGCAAGCAATCTTACGAAGACGTCTGTGGTCAAAACACTGTAATTTCTTGATATCTTTTACTTTCAACGACCATGTCTCATGGCCGTATAACACGATAGAGCGAAGTGCAGTACAGTATACTTGTCGTTTAACAGGTCAGTTGGTATCAATCGATGAAGTCTCTTAATGTTGGTCTGAGTCGTGTTGGGTGATGTAGATTGCCTAGTTGGGGTCCACCAGACGACAAGAATCAGTAGCTGAAGACTCCTGGTGTTATGGCTGCAAATTGTTCACAATGGCACAGATGTATTCACATTTTGAGTCCTTTAACTAACCTTAATTTTTAAATTTCCACTCGCCCTATACACCTTTGTCTACTTCGATATCACTTTCTCTATCTACCTGACTTATTCGTATATTACTATAAAAGTGTGATAACTTGAACCAATGTACTTCTCTGTGGGGTTCAATGTTTATTTTTCTGTCTACTTAGTGGTAATACAAACATTCGACAAAACTAAATTGAATCGGGATTATATTTAAATAAGTGAGCTGTACAGATATTTTATAATTTTCAGTTAAAGTAAATATATTCAATCAAAGTGAGGTTTTCGCTTTCATGCTGGCTGGGTTGATTTATAAAGGTTGTTATTTACTGACCAGTTCAACCACACTTTGCATTCAGAATTTTAAAACACTTTCAAAAGTAAAATATACTTCTATTTCATCCTATGCATGAACTAGTTATAACATCTTTGTTGAATAAAGAGTATTCCAGTTTGACAGTATCTACTGCTGGCACACACCAGCCAGATTATTAGAGTTCATGTTCAACAGTTAGTACATTTTCTTGTGCATATTTAATTGAGAAAGTGAAACCATTTGCAACTTTATCTTAATGAAATTTTCATCAAGTGGTAAACCGCTTAAAACTCAGGAACACTGAACAACCATTTTGCCTCAGCTTAGGCTTCCTCAGCCGGGCGCACTCATGACCCCGCAAGCAGTTGGGCCAAGAACATTTGAGTCTCATGGCGAGCATGGCAACATCCACCCCTTGAGTTACAATCTACAGTTTTCCAATTTCTGTCTACGATACATAGAGTGACCATCATGCAATGCGATCGGCAAATATTTTATCCTCCTGCCAGATACCTACAAACGTTCAGTTGAATGAATTACCCACTATTTTATATATATGCACTGTAGGACGCATATCTACCACCTCCAGCTGTAATCTAAACAGCATCGTCCTTTATATTTTAAATATTTCTTCAATAGGAAGAACACTGTGGTCACATTATTGCAAAAGATGAACATCTAGATGTAATTTTTTTATATCATATGCATCAGTCATTTGGACTAAAAAGCAAACCACCTTGCCAGAACTATGTACTTTCCACTTAGTCGAGAGATCAACAAAAATTTCATGAATGTGAAATTACCGTGTCCACACTTAATAGAAACTATCAGTAGGGTAGAAAACAAATTTTTATATTTAGTAGATGCTTACTTTGTATAGTATGAGTAGTATATTGAAATACCTAGAAAAATTGCTTCACGATGATGAAATAATCTTTTAGTCCTTTAGTGGTCAACTCACAAAACATTGGTTGTACTTACCGGGTATAGGTAGATCCACTATTTTGTATGGTAAATAAACTGGGTTATTATTATTAAATGAAGTTTGTAGAATATCGTCTTTCACTTGAGAACTGATCAACTCATTACATTTATGAGAATATGTCGATTGACAATCGATTGAAAAGGTGTTATTCGGTAATAATGTTGAACAATCCACACAACAACGTAGTTCAACATGTAAACGCATATGTCGTTCTAGAATATTTGCATAGTTACCACTGGCTAAAGCATGAACCAAATGAAAAGACAGAAAGTAGAAAAATATTTATTTGTCACAGTTCCATGGAGTAAGGATAATAATAATAATAATAATAATAATAATAATAATAATAATAATAATAATAATAATAATAAAACAACGGAGAATTACAAGCATATCCATAAATAGTAATAACTAATACCCGTTGTACAAGAGGTGGTTATCATGGCTCCACGGGCTAGTATATAACGCCTTGGCATCTGAAGCGATGGGTACGAGTCTTGGTGGAAACAACATCACTCTCTAGAGTGCAGGCATATCCAGCTGACAAGTCCCAATTAGGAAGAAACGCGCATCCTGGATTCTCCTGCTAGCCACAACCATATAAACTACAGTAATAACTCTATTTCAGACAATTTTTGATACAATTAAGAATCCTCAGCATGTATTATTGTAACAAAACATAAACTCCTTTACAACATTTCGAACAGTGTTAATTATAGCAATTAAAATTATGTAAATGATATTAGTAACAAGGAAATATTTTATAATAATGGTTAAAATATTGGAAAGATCGATAACTCATTGTTACAAAACTGAGAAACAAGTTCCGTTCTAATTCTTTTTGCCTGACATGATGTGGGCTACGTAACGTACGGTCGAAATCTCATATCGAGGCGTACGAGCGTACGGTCTAATATAATTTCTTATTTTCCTCCTTTGGGGGGACAGGTTTAAATGCAGCGAATGCTTAGTACCAGATAAAATGACTGTAGATAGTACCATGCTTGGATTTAAGTGTCTTTCAACTATAAAGTCAATCACTTGGGTCCGAATTACACCACTTCCTCCTTTAACAGCTTTCGAAACCCTAATCCATAAAGTATAGTCTCTTTTACAAGTTGGTGTTCGTCATGGACTGACATCAGTTGGAGAAACATTGGAAACCTGGGAGTACTGAGCAGCAGCTGCTTCGTTCTAGTATGGGACTCCTCAACAGTACGCACCTTTGGACCAGCCGCACCGGGGGATCGGACCCAGGACCTTCAGGTCCCATGGCCAGCACGTTGCCATTGAGCCACCGGGTCGGAATTCAATCACCCATATTTCTTACTTCTGTTAGTTCACAATATAGCGCGACATCCATTCAATGCCGTTGTTGAGTAGCTGTCTTCATAATCGACTTGGTTGGCTCCACTGGTCACGACTTCTTGTTTGAACTTCGGGAATCACCTCTCGAAACTAGTCACCAATGAGCACTATATTAATTCACTTTTGAGGTTTGCGGGAATTTCTCAGTGAATACCAACCTAAAGTCAATAAATCTTTACAAACCTCAAAATTGAAATAGTCACTTTTTAGCGGGCCAGGAAAGGACTAACGGGGAAAGATAAAGAAGAATAGGCAAAAATACAGGAATTAAAAAACTGTAAAAGTACCATATGGTTTCAATTTCTTTATGTAATACGTTAAATGAAAAGGTTTCTTAGAAGTCAACAAGATATGAGATGACCAGCAAAGATTAGAAAACAGTTCAATCCAAGATAGGTGACGCTCGAATTCCTTTCTACAGTAATACTACTAATACTACAGGAGTCATGGCATTGAAGCATTTCATACAAGTCTTGTATACGCGCAAAGCTAAAATGACCAGTCTTACATTTACAAGGGACCATTTAAGAAAGGCCACTGGTTAATTTCAGGTAAAAAAGTCACTCTAGTGAGCATAACCTAACTGAAAGATACCTGGCACACACTAAGACAAATCATACGGAAAGAAATAGAAATGAAGAAAGTATGGCAACCTTGGAGTGCACCAGCTTCACTAAGCAATGAAATGGGCCTCTTTCCTTTATAAACAGTATGATGTTTCCTTTTAGAGAGATAAGAGTTCAGCCAGTTTGGAATCCATGGCACAATATGAGCTGTGGAAACGTTATTTAACGAGAGTAGTCTAGGAACAGAGTCAAAGGCTAATGTGTAACCTAGAAAGGGACAGTCAACATGCTTAGCACCTTTGTGTAGACAAGCAACAATAGTATGATGGAAGATGATAGAGGCATTCGCTTAGGTTCCCTCGATGGGTTATTTCATAGATTGTGAACGTTGTACACAGTTATTGGTTTTAGTGCTTTTTCATATGCTTTCTGAGTGTTTTTAGAAAGCCTCCTTGTATTCCGTTTATAATTGTTTTATGTTACGTAAGTCACCCACACTTGAGTGTGAAGTATATTACCAACTTTCTAGTCTAAATGACTTTGTGGGGCATTCCTAACTTACTGTATACTGTGAAATGTTTATTCACACGTAAAAGCATAAGAGTTGTATATCATGCACTGAGCAGTAAAGATTGGGCCAATATACTATCTTGTACTCACGGTAAAGTCGGTAACGTACATTCCAATCGCCGAACAGTTGAAACTGTGGCACCTTCGTTATATCCGGTAGCGACGACACTAAATATTGTAGGAACATAGTACAGGATTGACGAAACTGCTTTGAGAGAGTTTTGGTTAATTACAAAAAACCTTACAATGAACACAATCCATGCAAATAGCCACTGCATTCTACATTCGAAATGAATGGATCTTCATATTTTGCTACTATGTCACTAACTTTTTGTTTTTCGTTTGCACATGTTTCGCTTCCTCTATCAGAACGTTTTTCAATCGCACGATAACTCTACTTACTTTTCTCAATGGCATCATGTTATTTACTACTTAAGTACGTCCGTATAAGTAGCACAAACAACAAAACTACTTGACTGTCAAAGACCTCAGAAGTGAAGGAAGTTTTGAACGTATGATTAAATCATTCAAAATCAAATATCTAAACCAATGAGCCACAAAAAACAGAAGTAGAAAAGATGTGATATAATTCAACTTTTGAGTAGCATCTTCATTTACTCCGTGTTGTTTTTATTTACTAATTTTAGTTGTCTAGAATATGTCAATTTGTCAGTTGAAGACTTTAGAAAGTGACGTAAAGATTACTCAATTGATAAGTCTCTAACGGAATAATCATTCCCTGAGCAGATGCCCTGATAGGGACTACCCTGTAAACATATCTGGGTTAAATAATTGGCAGTATGAAATGCACATCCTGAAGTGCATTGCCAGAACACAACAAAATACATGATCAACACTTGATTACAAGAAACATTCAGGGGTCTTTTCAAATAGCCTATATGACAATGAAACCGGTCAACTCAGTTCTCTAAAAGAAGATAAAGAAAAGATTTATAATCCCAATGGTTAACTGATACATGCTGAAAAGGATGTAGTTGTTGTAAGTCTGTAGTCTACGGAATAATCTTGAGTTAATGTAAGCTGAGTTGAGGTTTCTGTCAAAAATCGAAATGTATTCAGGAATCATTTACACATTCACATAGTAAGCAATGAACCACAACTATTGTATGCGGGTTAGTGATACTACCTTGCTGCCCAAGCGTCGGCAGGTGCGGCTGTATTCGAACTCGCAACCCATTGGTTGGTGATGGATAGAGAACATTCACGGGAGCTCAGACCTAAGTACAACTCATTTGTCTATCATAAGGCACAAATCAATATTAAATGACACCAGTTAGAGAACCATTGAATAAAAAACCGAGAAGCATTGGACAAATGTTTCATCCTAGTACGGGACTCCACAGCAGTGCATATCAACAACCCTTTTGGGGAGTAAGCCCAATACTACCATGTCTCCGAGTGAGTACAATACGATTCAGCTTGTTGGAACAAAACATAAACCTCAGTACAACCAAAGAATAACAAATAAAGAACACTCTTTACATCGGAAAGATACTACAGTGTACTTAAGTATATTCATACAATATGAAGTGTATATTCAATCAAGATTACTGATGTGAATAAACACAAACTGCATACTAGTTAAAACGAATATAAATTAGGAATTACACATTTTACCTATTACCAATAACTTACTGATGCTATAGGCGGCTGTGCAAAATGGACAATACCAATGTTTGTTTGAAGTTTTCGCTGTCAACTTAAATTGAACACAGGAATTAGAAAAGTAAGCTGTTGTATACGGATCTATGTTGAATTCGATTGATGAAATAAAATTAGTTGATGTAGATACTCTTAATCTGAAATATTATATACACATTAAAAGAGACTTGTAAAAAAACATTGATAAAATTCAATAACGAACGATAAAACAATAATCTCGAATTTAAGGTTTTTGAAAATAATAATGGACTTGATCCAACAGCTATGATGAAGTGGTGTAGTGTATCCTACTAATAATAACACATGTAAGCAGTATAAACAGTATGTATGTGGTTAGGCACTGCAGTACCGCTTTGAAAGCTTCTTAGACTAGTCATTCGGTCAGTGAACGTTCTGGAGAAAGAAATTAGAAATGCTGTCTGGAAGTAAAGAAGATAGTCAAAGAAGGAACAGTATAGTTTATCCCGAAAGCAGAATACGGATATTATTTTAAAAAAACTATATTCAATGCAAAAGGTAGTAGTAATATTTTATCACTACTCAATGAAATTTCCCAAATAAAGTTTCAATAATTCCCATCAGCGATACTATTACAAAGTAAATAGATACTAATAAAAACGATAATTGGGTATCAGTATAAGTTGTAACAACATTTCAAAACAATGAGTATAATTTCAATAGCCTAATCAATAACCCTATGATACTCTAAGTAATGGAAGTTGGATACGATTTACAGCCAGAATAAGAGCACTAACTAGAACACAAGTACATTCAGCGCCCAAATACCCAAAAGGATGAAAATTATCACAGTTATCAGCTTCTAACCATCCAAATGTAACATCTAAAGCTTTCTTGTAGTACACCAAAGTGAATTTCGCAACAGTATTAACATCATTTTAACTTACTCGGTTGTGGCTACCGCACGAATCCAGGATGCGCATTTTGCCCTATTTGGGTATAAATTTCGAGTTCCAATGGGGACAACACCAACCACTGGGAAGCAGGCACATCCAGCAGACGAGTCCCAAATAGGACGAACCGCACGTTCTGGATTTCTCAACAAGCCACAACCAAATAGATCATGACAATGAATGTTGAGGCATTATCGAGACATCCCCATAGGAGTCCATTTGTCAACGGATGTCGATCAATTCGTCCCAGTTTAACAGTGGCGAATTACAAGTATATCAACAAGTAACAACATCAGTCGTGAGAATACATCAGAAAAAAAAGCCTACGCAATGTTCAGTAAAAGATTTACGCGTTACAGTACTAAATGGTTCAATTATATTGAAATACAATGCAATAAAAGTATATCCTGCATTTTCCTGCCTGATATGAAATGAGCACTTTCTCTGAAAATTAACTATCACTTTCCACGTTAAAGATCAGTAAGGTTTCGTATATGATATTAGCCCATACACTGAGAGGAAAAAAAATCTAAGAATGTAGTAGAAATAATAAACAGGAGGTTAATCCAATGAGAAAGACACAAAGGTACATTTAAAAATAAACGTTAGATAATTAGCCGATTTTTTATGTGAAAAGAGAACGACATGCAAACTTGAAGATCATTGTGTTCCTATACTCAGAAGTTGATAATTATATCTAGTTGCGTTCAACCAGATAGACAGATGGACTGGTTGAAAAAACAGACACAGACAAAAATCAAAATAAGACCAATTACAGAAGTACTTCAGTTCAAGATGCCACACTTCACAATAGCGTACAACAGAGAAGTAAAGAGAAAACTAATGTTCAGAGTGAGTTGTTCTCTGAGCTAGGGTTTTAGGTAGTAAACGTTTTAATGTGTGCAGCTACACATATCTCTGACAAAACCAGAGGTAGATAGTCAACTAATCAGGTTCAGCATACGCCCATGTATTCACCTAGCGACCAATTACTTCACTTCCTTGTGAAACTCTAATGCACTGATAACGATATCTAGAATGACAAATGACAAATAAAACCCTACTTCAGACGACAATTCACTGTAAACACCCACACCTTGAGCTATAAGTATTTTCTAGGGAAATTATGATATTGAAGTAGAAAAGTGTATTGAGACAGGGAATAATAAAATGTAAGTTAATGAATATATTCAAAAAATTGAGGGAATCAATGATTACATACATCTGTTAGTGTGACCGGTTTTGAGCCTAGCTACTGACAACATCTAAAGACTAATTCCTGTCGTCTCGAGAACCCCACCCATGCAATCTACACCACGCATGGATTAGTGCCAGGACTTGGTCTGACCACCTTTGGTATTCTTCTTATTCAATCCTACTTCGACTAACACCACACGTTGAGGTAGGCGACGGCTCGGCATGCACGATTCACATCCAGATTACGTCAATCGGTAAATGTTCATAACATTATCGATAAACTTATCTTCTCAGTCTAGTTTTTCAATACTTAACGTGCGAATTGTTCACACGATCATCCCATCACATGTGAACAATGCTACGAAAGTACATACGATTAAAAACTTACATTCCCTTCAAATCTGCTTTAGACAGCCATACCTTACAGCGTCATAATAAGGTAGAGTGAACTGTGGAGCAAGTAGTTGAATTTCTTGTTGAAGATGATGTAAGTTGGCAAGTGTCGAATGGGCCTTTGATATGCAGGGTAAAATTTTCTCAGCAATGCACACCCATGGACCTACCAAGGATCAAACGCAGAACCTTCAGATTCCATGGAGGGCACTTTACCCATGAACTGCTTGGTCCAAATCCAATTATCCACATTATCCTACTTCTGTCAGTTCGCGATATAGCATGACCCTCATCCAATGTAATAGTTGAGTAACTGTCTTTTCGTCCGACTTTGTTGGCCCCAATGGTCACGACTGCTCATTAAACTTCGGGAATCTCATCTCCAGGCAAGTCATTAAGTGATGCTTATACAATAGTCAGAGTAATCTTAGTTGCAATTAAAACAGCCCTGACAGGTTTGTAGAAGGCTTCAGGTGCTTGACCACCGTTGCCTCCGTAGTATAGACCATATTCCGTGGTGTCACCATGTGAGTAATGCAGAAGTCAGGTGTAGAGTTTTGGGGAGAAGAGGTGAGTCAGTTGACGAGGTTGTGAACCTTCATCGACTGAGATGGTTGGGACACGTACTACGTATGCCTAGTCACCGATTGCCTCGTCACACAATGTTGGCTGAGGTGGGTCCAGCCTGGAAAAAGACCCGAGGTGGCCAGACCAAAACATGGCACCAATGTATGAAGTCTCTGACTGTTGGTTTAAGCCATGTAGGACGATGCAGACTAGGTGGTTGGGGTCCACGGGACAAGAGAAAACAGTAATTGAAGACTCTAGGTGATATGGCTCAGAACCGAAGTCAGTGGCGCAGATGTATACACACATTATCCTCATCTTAACGCTATACCGAATCTCACCATTTTGTCACTTCTCTTTCCTTTCTTCTCGTACTTTATATTTCTTTTGACTGCATTCACTTATCTTCATCCTTCACCTCACTACATTTCTACTTGATGAACTGACGTGAGGTGTGGCAATTCGGACCGTTACGCAGTAATGCCTGGTCCTATGTTGATAATGATGATGATGTTTGTAGAACAGTCGTGCTCTAAGTCAGTATTTCATCCTTGGAGAAGATATGGAAATATTCCGTCCTAAAACTGAGACAATCACCTAAAAGCCGATATTTACAAAGCCTACTGAAAACCTACATGTTTACTGTTATGAAAGATAGTTGGTGTTGACACGGCAAACAGACATAAAATAAACATAGAACCTTGCATACCAAGTGCATCGGTTCAAGCTGCAATACTTGACCGTAGTATATAACGAACAAGTGGATAGAAAAAGACTGATATCAAAGTAGACAAAGTTGTCTGAGAGAATATACAATTTGCAGATAAAGGTAAGTGTGAATATTCAAGCTTCATAAGAAGTCAAGGAGTAAATACATTTGCGCCATTGTGACCGGTTTTCAGCCATGTTGCCAAGAATTCTCAACCGCTGATTTGTTTCGTCTCGAGGACCCCAATCAGGCAGTCAAAATCTTCTGACACAGCTTAGGTCAACAGTCAGGGATTTCATCGACTGGTGATAGGTCATGGTCTGATCATCCCTTACTCTAGCCAAGGCGCCTCGAGATAGGCGGTGCCTTGGGATACGTAGGACGTCTCCTCAGTCATAAAGGCTCACAACCTCATCAATCGACTTGTTTATCTTGTCTAGTATCTTTCACCTAACCTAAAAAGCGAGCAGTGGTACGAATACATCCTTGATCTGAAACCTGTAACCTCTTCATCTCTACTTTTAACAGTCATGTCTCACCGAGGTATAACAGGACGGGACGGATTGCAGCGCAGATGTTGACACGGGAAGCTGATGAGATGAATGACGTGCAAAGCAGTTCATAATGTACTTCAAGAATTATAGCTTCGAATAATTTTGAGTAATCTACCTGCGAAAATTTAATCCGATTGTCTTCACATAAATTTAAAGTAGAGAAATGCACAGCATCTATACATACAGGGGTTAAAATAAGATGAATGACTAAAAGTAAACCGGCCATACACTTTTCAGTCAAGGTGAATGGTTGACACTCTCAATAAACCAGATTAGCACAAACCATTTTGGTTTGGGTTTGACAAATATCAATCAATATTTACATAAAATAATTAACCATAGCTATATAGCGTGATTATAATCTTTATTTAATCAGATTAATGTTCATTGAACAATATTCACTAAATACAACACATGCTGGATAGTAAACATCAATATTGTATTCATACTGGCCTAAAAAATTGACTGCTATGGTTTAATATGCCTTTTCTCCTTCCAGATAAGCTAAACGTCACCGACCAATGGGTCAGCTTCCAATCGGAGGCATGTGCACCTAAACAGCATATAAAACTGGCCATACACTCCTGGCAACAAAGAAGGTCCAGAAATCCCCGGTATCTATACTTACCTTCTCAGACAGGACGACAGTGGATACCCACCCGGGTTATTCCAGTTGTTTAGGAGTCAACCAGTGACTGCTTCCGAAAGCCTATTCCCCAGCCAGGAGGAACCACACAAGCTTCATCGCTTGAGCGTTCCATGGCGACAGCTGATGCAGTCATCAGGATGGACCTCATCATTGACCTGTAACCCATACCAGAGAAGTAGCTGAGCAGACAGGTCAACTTCATCCTAATAGGACGAAGTTCAGAAGAAACAGCAGGCTCATGGCCTACAGTCTTCAACACATCTCATATGCGTCGTGAAACGCTCTCTATCACTGCGCACATGACATCAAACAGCATATCACCGTAAGAAACCACCCGAGCTTACAGATTAGGCACCGCAGAAGGTCTATGTACTTCTGATTAGCTCTTCCGCTATCCACGCTGAAGTGGGTTTCTTCACCTCGAAACCCTACAGTCAGGTGGGAAGTTGGTTCACCAGTTGATACATGCTTAATAGCTGGGACCACGAGAAGGTCCACCGTTGTGTAACTGTTCTCCCCTGTCTTATAAAAATCCGAATCGTGAAACGCTGCTTAAATGTGCGCCACCGGTTAGGCATTTAGTCAACAGCTCAAAATACTTGCGTAACTAATTGAATAATGAGCCGTTCAGCAGTAACGCAGAAGTCATAGTTACTCCCGTTAGGGACAGAGAAACACAATTTGCTAAAATAAATCGTGGTGTTCAAATAGAATGAATTCACTTGGTAACAAATGTTGTGAAATGTACAAGAACTTAACTTTTATTGGTTTAGGGGTACTTTATATCTATTCTCAGGTGTCTGAATGCCAGTGTAAAGATTTTGACCGAAGATATGTCATCTTTACAGGGTTTCGAGTTCTATTGAATAAGATGACAAAAAAATTGGGAATACTTAGACGGCTTGACAATAAATAATTCAACCCAATCCAGCAGACACTTATGTACTAAGATGTGAGGCACACATATGTGAGGGTTTATGGTAATAAAGTAAAGTCTGATTCCAAGAACCACTACTCAAACGTCGGGTGTTTGGGAAAGTACGCTACAACTCCACACTGCGCCACATCTCAGACACTTTAGTTACTATACTGTTGAGTGACATTACTGCTTGCATGATAACACCAAAATTCAAATGAAAATATCACATAAACTCCACCTACTCTGCTGAATTGATGTCTGTCGACAGCTTTGAACCACTGGAATCGATGTCAACAACACAGTTTTGTGACCCACTAGACAACACAGTACATCTTGAAGGAGTTATTTGGATTGAATCATTACTATGTAACTGAACCAAAGACCATTGACCACCTTCATAAGTAGTTAAAACGAATTGAGGTAGATTTGAACGTGCTAATCGATTTATTATTAAATGACGCACCTTTAGTGGAAGGCAATGAAGTAATATGATAGGAAATGAGCCATAATCAAGAGAGCATACACAGTGTGGCAATGTATCATTAGCTATAAAGAATATAATTTAGCTTAGTCAATATCACAGAGGTTACCTTCAGTCGTATAAAGGAAATCAGTTTCATTCATATCGCCAGATCTCAGGTTAAAAGAACTATACAGCAAAGGAGACTATCATATGGATACTGAATATGACTTCTGAAAGATAAAAGAAGTATACAGTTTTTTTTTTGAAATAACTACTTAAAAAGATTAGTATTGATAAAAGATTTTAAACAGACATACAAAACTAACATAGAACGTCACATAGAAGAAGATCAGTTTAGGTAAGCATATTTCACAGCAGCATGCAGAGAGGGAGCAGATACAAAAGCAGTGATATCAAAACAGACGAAAGTGGATGGTACGTGCGTCACTGTAACCGATTTTAGGCCATATCATTATAAGTCTCTAATCAGTGGTTTCTGTTATTACAGTCAGTACTAAGTATGAATATACCACTGAAAATTAACGGTGCAAAACTATATTGTGCTAACCCAACCTGACAGAGGAAACCAGAATCAATAAAAGTTTAAGTAGCTGCATATTTAGCAACCAGTTGATTGAGAATGCAATAGACAAGAGCTGATATGAAGAGCTATTTGGGTGATTTGAGAATCTTTGGACCAATTCACTGATATTGATGAGAACGATGATGGAGGATATAATGTAAGACTGCTTATTTAGGCAATTGCATTTAGTATTGGTAAGGAATATCATTTATGAGTCGTCTAGTTGCAATCTTTTACGGCATTCTGTGTCAACCCATCCAGTTTCTCTGGCTAGAATGCTCACCGATCGGTCGTTTATCCTCGTGACTGTCGCCAAACCATGCACTATTGAAGTGCATTCTTATCAGTAACACACACTACTCTATTATATCCAGAGACCTTTGAGACCGGATGGTTGCAAACTACTAGTTGTGCTTGGACGAATTAAGAAGCAGCTCCGCAGAGAAGAATGAAATATGACATGTAACACGTAACTAATTGGACTGGTAACAGCTTGTAGTGATTCCGCAAAAATAAATGGCGACGGTGGTAAACTCAACAGCATATTCTTAAGAACATGAATAACCTTAAAAGTCTATCTATACAATGTTGAAATAAACAATAAAGTCTCCTTAATTTACGAGGAACCTACCTTTCCAGTCAAAATGAAATACCTAGTTGGTTGTTTTAATAGTTTCTAAGGTTGAACTTGAAAGTCAGTTGAAGGGAACCAGGGATTTCTATCATTTATAGCTAATAGACAGACGATCGATTGGATAATAGCAAAGAACTACTTGGAAGGCCAAAGTATGGTAGTTCCAAGATCACCACCTGCCTGACAAGTAGTTCTGAAGTAGCTCACGACGACTTGGGTTAGCATTGAATTGACCCGATAAGAACGTAAATTATGCTGTAAATGGTTACTTACAGCATAAAAAGGCATATAATTCGTCTAGTTTCATAGATTTACACGGACCTGCAACATAAAGTTTACTTTTTAAAAATTGGTTTCCATCTAATTGCACGAGTAAATTCTGGCCACCTTAACAAAAGTATGTGTATGCACAAGAAGGTTCTAGCTCACCTGTAGTTATTAGAAGCCATTCCATTGATGAAAGCAAAAGCAAGTATAAGAACATGGAATGTCCGCACGATGTTTGAAGCTGGCTGGCAAGGCTGCTCAGATTGAAAAAGGAGTGAGAAAGTATAGCATAGAAGTGCTTGAAATCTGCGGAAGCGGATGGAATGGAAGTGGACTCCTCAGACTCCTAACTGGAGAGTCAACAATCTACTCCAATACTGTTACCAAGACGACAACCACAAGCACACTGAGTTTTGGAGTGACTATCATGATGTCCCCTAGACCATCAAAGGCTCTCATGCAGGATCATAACAACAAGGTTCAACTCAAAAGGAAGGAAGGTCACAATCATACAATACTACGCACCTACAAATAATGCAGAGCAAGAGAAAAAGGAGGAGTTCTACAGACAACTGCAATCAGTACTGGAAAAGACCCCAGCTCAGATGCCGAAATTAAAATTCTAATAAGTGACATGAATGCCAAACGGGGAGCGGACAACACGGGAAGAGAACTCATCACGGGGCGAGAGGCACTTGATGAAATGAATGAGAATGGAGAATTGTTTGCAGAATTCTGCGCATTTAATGATCTGGTGAATGAAAGCATTATGTACAAACACAAGGATATTCACTAGGCAGCGACATGGATTTCACCAGACACCAGGACACACTAAAAATCAGATTGACTTCATTTCAATGTGAGGAAAATGGAGACGCAGCCTACTGGAAACAAAGATCGAGAAGAGGAGCAGATGCAAGTCCGCACCACTCACTATCTAGTGCGAGGAACCTTCAAAATCAAGTTGAAAGCCTTCAAAGAAGCTGGTGATAGACCACAGTTCAGGTACAGCAGTAGGAAACTGAAGGACGAAACTACAAAGGACACCTTCACATCGAAAGTCATCAGGACAAGATTGGACATATTGAGCAACATCCCTGAAGAAACTCCGTGGAAAAATACTGGAACTTTATGAAAGCGACGTGGAAGGAAACCTGCATAACCATATTAAGAAGAAAAAAGATAAGGAATGGATCTCGACGGACACATGGAGGCTAATAAAGGAGGGAGAGGAAGATGGTGAAGCAGAAAATAAACCAGTGCAAGGATGAACAATAGAAAGAGGAACTGAGTACAAAGTATAAAACACTGCACTGGACAAAGAAGTGAAGAAGAGTGCACGCAAAGTCAAAAGACACTTCTAAGACCCATTGGCAAGTGAAGCAGAACAGGCTGCAGGTAGGAGAGACCTGACAACACCATATCAAATAACCAGGTTTCTATCATGGGAAGAGATCAACACAGATGAAACCTATGAAAGATAGTGAAGAAAACTCAGTTACCACCAAAGAGGAGAAACAAAGAAAATGATGGGCTGACCACCTCAAAAAACTCTTGAATCGACCACCACCTGCAGCCCAGCCACAGAACTATGAGTGAACACAAACGTTTGAGGACATCACGCGCCAGGCCCTCGAGCAGAACCCAAAGGAGAAACAACGAGTTGGGCGTCCGAGGGTGACATGGTGGAGATCGTGTGAGGAAGAAATGAAAGGTTATGGGAAGTCGTGGAGCCAGGTTGAATAGACTGCAGAGAAGAGAGTGGAATGGAGGCGTGCTACTTAAGCTCTGTTCCACTAGGAACCCAAGGGACAAATAATGATATAAATAACAATCCCATTGATTGGTAAGGCTTAGCATTATATTTCACGAAGACTGTTATTGTGACACAAACCATACATGACGGTTGGCAATCTGAAAGCAACTGATAACACGTTTTGAGTAGAGATCAGTTTTATTAGTGTTTTTATACTAACTGAGGTATTTGCACAACGATGAATCACAGAAATGTATAAGGAGGCCGGGACAAATGACAACAATAGCATAGGAACACAAAAATAACACTCTTGCTGCTTCTAACTTGTTTTTTTTTTCAACTAACACCAATTATAAATTTACTGCCGGGTTCCAAGGCATAAATTACAGTACACTTCAAAATCGAAATACGCATAATAGGAACGAAAGATCATGGTCGTGGCTCCTTTGAACTGCTATCAATCGTGATAAAGCTAGCTACATTAATAATTGCAATATGTTCGCCGCAGAACCTGAACGTCCTGATTTCGACCCCTGGCGGCGCAGGGTCATTGGTGCGCGCCGCTCAGGAGTCCCATGCTAGGACGAAACAGTTGTCGATTGCTACCTGGTTTTCACTGGTTCCCCAAATGTTATCACTCTCCGTGATGAATACCAACTGGAAATCAATAAAGTATAGGTTTCCCGATGTTGAGATAATTTTATACACTGAAATTATGGTGGAAATCAAAGAACAATAAGTTATCACAAGTCCAGTCTTCATATCTCCGAGATACGTTCAACTAATTCTGGTACGTTATATTGGTTTTGGCGACTAACAGAAGAAACCAGAGGGTTCGTCTCGTCCCATTCGGCACTGGTCAGCTGCATATACCTATGACCCAGTGTGGAGTGCTGTCCTCACCAGGACTCAAACCCACCACCCTTCACTCCAAATGCCAGAGCGTTATCCACCAAGCCACTGAGGAACGATAGATACCTCTTGTACAACGGGTATCAGTTGTTGCTGGTCACTTGGATCAATATAATATCATGAATATCTGGCAGTATCGAGGCATCTGTATGAGTCCCTCTGCTAACAGAGGTCAAGTAATTCACCCCTGTATAGCGACGGGAAATTACAAGTATCATTACAATAATTATAGAATGCTTTACACATATGAGATATATACTTCAACCCAGTCAACTGCTATATACCGTAACGTAACGGACCTGATATGAATATGAACAATAAATTATGTCCGAAACGTTATCCAGTAAATGATACTGTTTCGCTGTGTGATATTTCTAATAAACAGACTAAAATGAAATTACAATCGACCACAGTACCCAAGTTTTACTCCTATATTATATAACGTACAGTTGAAAATAATCGTGAGCTAACAGAAGTTTGAAATACGGACCACTGGATTCTGACCCAGTAGCTCAATAGTGACGTGCTGGCCATGGAACCTGAAGGTTGCAGGTTCGAGCCCTGGCGGAGTCGTGAGTGCGCACTGCTGAAGAGTCCTATACTAGGACGAAACAGTTGTCCAGTGCTACCAGGTTTCCTTTGTTCCCCTAACTGATGTCAGTTTACGATGAATAACAACTTGAAAATAATGTGATAGGTGAGAGTACAAGAAATGATCCATTGCATCAGGCGAACACACACAAATACACAACTAACTAAAGATACATACATATATGCACATACAGACAAATATTAGGAAAAATAAAACTCATAATCATATAATGAATTCTTTTTCGTTTCATTGAATGTGAAAAAAAAACAAACAAATAATTTCTAAAATCTGCATTGAAAATACAAACAAACAAATGCACAAATAGTTTACTAGCTACCAGTATACAGAATAACCACCCTGAGGATCAACTAATACCTTTAAACTTTCTAATCTTCCAACCATAAAACAATTATTCAATTCATGAATTAATCGCTTATTACATTGAGATGATAAAATTTTAGTATTTTGAGGGCAATGAGATGTCAACTTCTTGAGTAATGATGAAGAAATTCTATTAGTTGATGTTTGATTATAAATTGATTGATTTTTACAAGGTATAGGAAGTGAATTACCAGTTGTCAAATCTAAAATACGAATAAGATTAGCTGTACTACTTTCATCAGATGTTTTGTATACACTTGATGAATTCAATGAACTATGATCTGGTTTTATATGATATACAAAAAGTAAATCAGGTTCATCAGATGGAATGAAAAGAGCCAGTATAGGAGATGAATACGTACATTTATTTTCATTAGGCATACTATTGACCGGTATCTAGAGGAATAAAAAAGAAACAATCTTTACAATTAAATTAATCAACAGTAATTAGACAAAAAGAAAACTAGATATAACGTCTTTGATTGGACTGAATTCATCGGTTTCTAATTGGCATATTAGCTCCTGGTGTGGATGTCTGGATATTGTCTGCCATTTCGATTTTATAATAATGATGAATAGTGGCTAGCAGTGGAATCCAGGATGTACATTTCATCCCATTTCAAATTCATCAGCTGGATAAACTTATCTCCAAGTGACGGATGCTATTCCCACTAAGATAAGGTCCAATCAATCACAGGATAATACAAGCAACATAAAAAAAAAGTATATCCGTCACACAAGAGGTGGCCAGGTGGATAACATTCTGGCGTTTGAGGCGATCGGTCCCTAGTTTGAATCCCAATGGGAGCAACATCGCTCGCTGGGAGGCAGGTACATCCGGTTGACGAGTCCCAAACAGGTCGAAGCACGCATCCTGGATTCCACCGCTAGCCGCTATCCACTTTAACTAGAAAACCATAGATTATCTTCGATAGTTAACCAACCCTTTAATCACATAGACCTATTACCAGAAGTATTGTTTTCAGGTTCACTTACACGTCATCTATTCCAAAGTGAATTTATGTGACTGAACTACTAAACTAGCAGAGGTATATACTTCTGAACGACTTGAACAGTTAGAAACTAGCTAATCAACCGGACGAGAGTGATTTAAACACCAGACGGTCATTTCGCTCGTTCAAGACCAAGGTCATCCAGAGATGTATCCGAGAAAAAATTCAGCTCACATAACCGAATTTGGCCAGTTGACTTGGATGCACCGGTATATCTAAAATCGAATGATCAATTTAAAAATTCCACGGTGCATGTTGAAAACCAGTCAGCTGTGAGAAATATCAAAGTGGACCATGAAGTTTGCAAATCATCTGCAGATCTTCTAAGGATCGATAACTACGTTGACTAGCTGTAAAAAAATACTTTAAAAAGGAACAAGCTGAACAAAAAAGTATTCACACAGACTTCTTGTAGCAAACTTGATGGGTCTCTTCTCCACATTATACAGAAAGTGAAAACCAAATTAAAGGAATATGGAATCATCAGTTATCAGTGGATAAAAATGATTCACACTAAAGTTACTTATTAAGAGTTTTCAGAAATAGTCCAACAACAGTACACCTAATAACTAGTAAAATCACATTTATGCAAGGGAATAGTATGCTGTCAGTTCATACCACTAGGCATCACTGGGATTAATATTAAACATTGACAAAGGTGAGGTGCTTTGAGTAGGTGCACAAATCCAAAGAGAGAAAATAAGCGAGTCTTGTTGTTGATTGTCCCTTAGGTTCCTAGTGGAACATAGGGCTTCAGTAGCATGTCGCCATTCCACTCTCTTCTCTACAGTTTTTTTGACCTGGCTCCACGACCGCCCATAACCTTTCATTTCTTTCTCACACAATCTCCTTCATGTCAACCTCGGACGCCCAACTCGTCGTTTCCCATTAGGGTTACACTCGAGGGCTTGGAGCGCGATGTCCCCGAATGGTCTTCTCAGTGTACGCCCAATCCATCTCCATTTTCTTCTGTATATTTGTTGGGCAATGGGTTCTCAGCTGTTTCGTTACCAGCCAGCCAGAGTTCCTTGTTGCTCATTCTTTCTGACCATCTGATTTTCAGTATCGAGTGAGCGTAGGCTGGAGTTATTGATAAATGTCTATATTTTGTTGAAAATGCTTTTCGTAACGCGCCACGTTTCTGAACCATATAGAAGCACTGACTTACTTGACTGACATTAGTGTTACAAATACGGATTTTGTTGTTTATACTGAGTTGAGTGCAGTAGATCTCCACAATGATTTCAGGTTCATGAAGGCCTATCTTGTTTTTTGAACCTGGTTTTGACGTCCTCGAGTCTTATGCAGATGAAAATGAAGATATATTTGTTAACCCATAAACTAGGAAGTCTCTAACCAATCTGAGTGAAAATGAGACAGAAATAGAAAGAAAACTCACTGGGGCTTGTTCCATATAATTTCTCTAACTGCCTTGAAGATACGATCTTAAGAATCATCTATACTAATAACTGTGTGGTTCACACTTTAAAATTATTATTATTGAATATTTTAGTTGTTCACTATGCTTTGTTCGCATTTCAACACTTTACTCAAAATTGTTCTGTGAAGCAAATAACTGGTAAGCTCACATAAATCAAGTTACGCATATAGCTAGCTGATTGGTGCCAAGGAGCAAAAAACCAACCAGCCAATTAACGTAAATCTTTTAATTATTATTATTGTTACTATTTGTTGATGTACTTGTAATTCTTCGTCGTTATGCTGGATTGAATTGATCGATCTCTGTTGACTCCTGTGCCCCGAAATCACCTGAATACTTATTGTTATAAATGACTTGGTTATGACTAGCAATATCGAGACATCTGCATAAGAGTCCAAAATAATAACTAGTACCCCTTGTACAAGAGGTGGCTATCTTACCTTAGCAGCCTAGCGTATAGCGCTTTAGCATTTGAAGGGATGGGTATTTGGTTCGAGTCTCAGTGGAAACAGCATCACTCACTAGGGTGCAGGCACATGCAGCTGATGAGTCCCAAGCGGAACGTAACTCGCTTCGTGAATTTCATTCCAAGTCAATTATAACACAAACCTTTGTCAATCTGTGTAAACTAGGATGCTCAATCACATATTTGCATTGAAATTTTCCATCAAAAATTATGTTCTCATCTAACATTAGCAATCTTTCTGATAAAATAATATCAGTGAATCACTCACAAAATGGTAAGATAGAGCTGTCCCTCATTACTTTAGGGAGTTGACCTTCAACTAAATAGGTTACAGGTTCGAACACCGCTCCATCTACCAAGGTTGAAGCAGCTCTCAAACAATAGATGTGGTTGCTTACTCCCTACTACAAGAGTCTGCTCAAAGTTTCTAAGAAGATTTTTTTCAAAAAAAAATTGATTCACAAGATGCTGAATGTAGTTTCATCACAGGATCAACTTTTCATTGATTTCTATAAGAACTGAGTGAACACTAAAAATGGCTGAATTCGGCTGATACTACAACGCATTTAGTAGACATTTTTCTAAAGCCCTCTGTGAACAACTTGTGTACACTAACTAAAGTAACCAACACCAACTAAAAAACATACCACCTTATCATTGGATGTGTAATAAGTGAGAAATCTTCTGACCTACATATTTAATGGATCAGAATAGAATATAAGGAATCAAACAGAAATAATTCAAAAGTTTACTATCTAGTACAACTATGACATTACTTACATCGAAAACAACCTCCTCCAAATGCACAATTACATGTTGATGTATTTTTTCATTTGTTTTATTGGAATTTGAACTTACATCACCGCCTATAACAACAGTTTGTACATTGGGTGATATATATTCTTCCCATCCTGTAAGATCAAATGAAGTATGACATTGACCAGAAAGTCGATGAACAAGTAAATCTTCAGGAGATGAATTAGAATCTCTACTATCTAGACTAGTTAATGTAGCTTCAGTTTCATCATCTGAAGTGTTATGTGAAGATGGTGAAGAGTTATTTCCATTCCATTCACCAGTATAATCTATTGGTGAATCAATTTGATTAATAGGATGTACAGTATTTGTCAAGTTAGCTATTGTATTATCTATTTTACCAGTATTACGTGATATCAATGCCTAAAAAGGAAAAAAAAAGTACACTGAGCCTAGATAATGAATGATATGCCCAACTTTTGCTGCTAATTAAGAATTCTTATGACTACTTTTACCATATACACCTGCGATGTATGCAGAAATCAAAAAGAAAAAATGTGTAACTGTTTAACCTAAATTGCCACACTTCACAGTAGCATTCAAAAAATAGGTGAACAGAAAAAAAGACTGATATCAAAGTAGGGAGAGGTGTATAGGAGGGGAAAGAGTTTCAAATGAAATTCGATGAAAACATCTCAGCTTTAGAAGACGTCAAGGAGTGAATGGCTTTGCGCCATTGTGACCAATTTTCAACCAAATCACCAAGGGTTATCAACCACTGATTACTATAATCTCGAGGATACCAACCAAACAGTTTACACATCCTGAGGCAGGTAAGACCAACAGTCAGAGACTTCATTGACTGATGACACACCTTAGTATAGCAACCCTGAACCCTCTTCCAACTTATCCTAGCATGGCACGTCAAAGTAGGCGGTTAACTCGGCATGCCCAACGCATATTCAAGCCATATCACTAGATGAAACTTTACAACCTCATCGATTGACTTGTCTTTCTTCTCTGAAACCCTTTAAGTGACCACTGCGTTGCCAACATGGCGATTTCACCTTACGCAAGCAATCTTACGAAGACGTCTGTGGTCAAAACACTGTAATTTCTTGATATCTTTTACTTTCAACGACCATGTCTCATGGCCGTATAACACGATAGAGCGAAGTGCAGTACAGTATACTTGTCGTTTAACAGTCAGTTGGTATCGATCGATGAAGTCTTTTAATGTTGGTCTGAGTCGTGTTGGGTGATGTAGACTGCCTAGTTGGGGTCCACCAGACGACAGGAACCAGTGGTTAAAGACTCTAGATGACATGGTTGAAAGTCAGTCACAAGGGTGCAGATGTATTTACTCCTTGATAGCTCCTAAAGCTTGAATATTCGCACTAACCTTTATCTTCAAACTGTTTATTCTCTTACACTAGTTTGTCTTCTTTGATACCACTCCTTCTCCATCCACCTATGTTCTTCGTATACTACTGTTAAGTGTGGCAACTTGAGCCGATGTACCTGTGCCAGATTCTATGCTGACTTTGTCAGTCAGTCGCAAGTTGGTGTTATATGTGACGCAAGTTGATAAATGCAAAGAGAGCCTTCTGTATGCAGGTTGAGATTTTGTCAGCAACCAACTCATTCGGGCTCATACAAATTAGGAAGCAAGTTAAGTAATGAACACATTGGACATATGGATGAAGTATAATGACACTGTACTCTCTTAAAAACTATACGCAGGAGTACACGGTGAATTCGTGCACGTGACACATGCCATCTATTGCAGGCAGTATAAATTCCAATGTTTTGAGAGAGAAGAGGAGAGATTGTCAACATTAGCAGCCGGAAAGCTGGAAACCCAAGTTTACAGGAAGCCAACACACACTGATCGAATCCTTAACTACAGTAGCAGCAACCCAACAACGCACAAAATTAGTTGCGTGTAAACTCTATTCAAAAGAGTGAAAATACACTGTAGTACAAAGAATATCAGAGAATTCCTAGAAGCTTGGGATTCAGGTCAATCAGCAATCAACAGATGTATAGACGTAGACCCAATCTATCAACCAATAAGAAAAGTGATAGACGACAGAAAGGTCAGAGGTCAAGCAGGGGAACAGCCAACAGGAAAGTCTGTACAGTCAATGATACAACAATCGAAGGAAACAACCAATCACAGACCACATCGTCAGAGTAAGCCACTAAATCACTCACTGAGAGCTGCTGATAGCTCATTTTTTACTGAAGTTAGCGCTGATGATGTCGTCCAGAATGACTATGAAAGCGCCACGACTAAACAACCCAGCTCAGAAAACACAATAAAACTAAAATTATCATCCGTTTTTGCTAAAACTTCGTAACTTCCTATGAACTGCGCCCCGTTATTAACACTTCGTCATATTCCATAGCACTATAATTTAGTCAAACTTTCTACCACTCCTAACGATATCGCTTAACTTCGAATTATAAACAGACTTATTACGAAAATTTTGAAATTTCACGGATTTTGAGGCTTATTCTTGTCGATTACCTTATGATATCAATAGTAAGATCATCGAGAGAGATCAGATATAATTAATGTGAAGAACAGTGACAAAAATGTTTCCCTAGCTCATAAACTCACACTAAGCCATACGACCATATTACAAACAAGGGTTTAGTTCCGTAGACAATAAACTGGGTTCTCTTATTTCACTTTCCAGCTAACTTTATCTGCTCAACAAAATGATTTATTTGTAAAACTGACGAATAACTGTAAATACAAGAAGTTATTTATCATATAAAAATGACAGAGAGTTAATACCTACCCAGTGTAAATAAGATGCGCGAATATCTTGCAGCATCGCAAGATATGTTGGCTGGATACATGATACAAAGCATGGTCTTTCTGATAACAATGATGGAACCCATATATCTGGAGATATTCTATTTTTCGACTGATTACCACCAGTGGCATTGCTTTGTGAACATTGATGGTATACCCTTTCAGCACCTTCTGGCTAGTAAAGTAAATAAAAACATAATTTAAGGGAACAGTTCTGTGAATACATATAAACATTAGAGTAGGTCAGAGGGCAGTGTTGTGCAGTATACCTGATCCTTAACAAATATTCGAATGTGAGGAACTTTACCTTATCATTCCAAACTTAGGTTTTCCTGGGCGATGTCGTATACTTCTTCGTGCCAACATTGCACTTAAGTGATTAAAAATTTTGTACCCAAAAATTTGATATTCCCGACAGATCTATCAATTTCAACATGAAGCCATGAATAGTGCTGAGATTTATGGGGGAAGTACTTGGATATTTTACTTGAAAGTGAATTCATGAATATTTACCGCGTCGAATTATGGGGCTGTGGCTCACTGGTTTGGGGAGATGACTTTCAAACTACCTACAGAAGTTTGGGTGGTTGACACTTCCCGGCTGCCCACACCGTGGAAGGCTATTTCTTCTTAAGGTACCTGAAAGAGATTTGTGTGACCCCAGAGCCCATCGGACATCACATGTAGCCTTTTGACCATGGTTATTTTGAACTTTTGTATTTTTGGGGCCGGATGGTCGAAAGGAAACCACAAATGAACCAACACCACCGGCCCACTAGACCGTGGGGCATAGTGGAGTGTGTTATTTTTGCGGCCAACCTTTTCTAGTCCCCCCTTCCACTGAGAAGGCAGCATCAGCATGGCACTACTGGTCATCAAAGGGAAACACCTTACTGCTGTCACACCCCATCTAGCTACAAGCAGTACGACTTCGCTCTCACTGCAAAATATAGTTAGACACCTATACAGAAATGATTAGATATTGCAGACGGAGAGTCGATGTCAAAGATCTACCGGTTATGTTACGAAGAAACTGGGGTGTATGAAAATGGAAGTCCAGTGAATGTGATTCATTAAACAAGCAGAAGTAAATTGATTTGTTATCTTTTAACACTTTTTGAAAAACTTACAAGCGAATCTGAATGGTTATCCGGCCATGCTACAGAATCACTGACCAAGAATACATTCAAGGTATCTTGTGAAAAAATGCACGCTGCAGAGTCTGAAGTACATGAAGAATTTTGTTCCTTGCAACAATGTTTATCTTCTTCTGGCCATGAATAGCACGTTGAACAATAGTTATGAGTAAGAAGAGGTGGTTTGTAAATTAGTGTACGAGGGCTAATTCCTAATGTTGCAGACATACCCTAGAAAAAAGATTTTCAAAAAAATTATTTACATTCATGATTCATTGATTTCAGGTTGGTATTCATCACAGACTGACATATGTTGGAGAGAAATTAGAAAGCTGGGAGCACTGGACAGCTGTTACCTTCTAATATAGAGTTCTTCGGGAGTGTGCACAAAGGACTCTGACCACGGACTGAACCCAGCACGTTACCACTGAGCCACTGAATCGGAATTCAGTGGTCCATATTGCCTACTTCTGTTAGTTCATGATATAGTGCGACCTTCATCCAGCACCGTCGTTGAGTATCTCCCCTTATATAGCGTTACAGTAAGATCGGTACTACTAACCACTTTATGATTTTCCCAGAACCACTTCATATTAACAATAACACACACTAAGCGATAAATTGTTGAATAACCATAAAATATAGCTTCACGGGTAGTTTGAATGCACGTAAGTAGTGAAGAAATTAGACTGGAGATAAAAGACATATCATATCATTACAATAGGATAACATATTACATCAATTCAACACAAGCTTGAGTAACCTAGAAAAGAACATCCAAACTGTAACAGGCATGGCAACATATAAGTCACGGTTATAACCAATAACATGATACCTATAAAAGTTCACTGACAAGGTAGTGAATATAATGTTCTTTTCAACAAGCCTACTCACCCTGATTACATTATGCAGTATTTTTATTCTTCCCTTTAATCAATAGTATATTTAAAACAACTACGGCAAATCTTAATAGTTTACGCGAACAATACTCTTATAAATTTCGCAAAGGAAAACTAGGTAGTGTATAAATATAAATCGATTCGAAACTTATCAGATACAGGACTGATTTCTGCGTCTATTTATATGAAGAGTGAATTCAGTCTCTGTCAGCTATTGTTGAGAATAATCAAAAAATGCATAATTTCCCAAACATCATCTTGTAATACTGGTAATCTTAAGTTGAACATGATTGACAGAGCTAAGATAATGATCCAACGACCTGCAGTTAAATCCCAACCATTACCTTACTTCAACATTTTGTTGAATGATTCACTACATTCATCACTTGTTCACCTTTTTCTGAGTTATATACGTTCTATCAACTATTCTATGTGTTAAATAATCTACTTTGTTACCATTCATACTTCAACTGTTATCGTAATCACGGGTACCTATGTCATCAACACTTTCATTATTATTGTCATCATATAGTGTTTAATTCTCCTCATGAGATATAATTTCTCAAATATCATATATATATGAATGTATGGCTTGAAATTCGTTGAAAAGAGAGTCTTCGCTGAATATCTTGTTCACAGAATAGAGTATTTAGTGTGAATGCTACCAATTAATGCTTCAGACGTTCGGTTTAACCGTAATCAAATCAACAATTTCACCTAATCTCTAAGTAATTTTTACCACCAGAGAGAGTAATATTATATATACATAAGTCGGCAAAATGAACATTACCTTGGGTAGTAAACAAAAAGAGGAATCACTGGGATAAGTCGGGGACGCATTAAATGAACAAGATATAACTTTAACTTGTGCGTCTGGATTGGCCCAAGCAATTCGTAAATGCCCAGTACTTGAGGAAACGCCTACTTGAATCATACCAATCGGCAGGCCAGTTGAAGTAAAACAAGAACCTTCACAAATGTACTCGTTATTGGAATAATAACCTCCATCGAATGAACGGAAGCAGGGTGGTACAAAATGAAGAGTGTTCCGATGTAAAACATGACAAAACGCCATATCACTATCAAGTGAAAATGTCTGAGCAACAGATATGTCAATATTAAGAGATAACACATGTGAATGAATACTGCAGGTAGTTTTAGGAGATGAAGGACTTTGACAAGACGATGCTTCTATACATAGATTGCAATCCAAATCGGGCATGAGACCAAATGCAGCAACGAATCCAGTGCCATCATTCTAACGGTTGGGAATAACAGAAAAATACAGAAACATACGAACTGGATAGTCATTCTAAAAAGTGCTTACATGTTCCAGTAATTCTAAAGTCGTTAGGACGTCTCTCCGTACACAAACATAAGCGATTATGTGGGAGAACCGTTGCAATATAATCTAATGACTGTTTAACTTCAGTATTTCAATGTGAATCAAAATCGAAACCTACTCAGCAACTTTGTGCACATTAGTGCGGCAGATAAGGAGCTACACCTACTACATGAAGGCTAGTGATACTACCTGGCTGCCCAAACCCCATTAAGTGGAGCGGGGTTCAAACCCATGACCCACCTGATTTAAAGTCAACTCCCTAGACCAGTGAGCCACAAAATACACTCAATGTAATCACAAAGAGAGATAACTTAGTGCAAGCATTAATTGTGAAGGACGATTAACAAAAGATGCAAGTCAAACACCAACACTATACAAGTTGGCACACGTGGGAAATAAGCTAAGCTGTAATGCTTGGCATTAAGGAGATAGACGAAGAAACTTAAGAAGTGGCAAATAATTGAGAATGAAAACGATGTAGTGAACAAGTAAATAAAGTGAAAACACAAAACTTTCAAGGGTTTTGGAATGCATTTGCATAATTGAGACTGATTTCGAATCAAAAAGCCTACAGTTCCTCACTTATCTGGGATAAGCAGACAAAGGCTTCTAGAATTAATATGCTCTGGTTTGAATACACTCTTGCTTTTCCACTTCCTTCTACTTCAACTAATATAGCAGCAGCTATGAATGCATAGTACATCCTAACTGACCCAGTCTAGGAAGGTTTATGACCTCAACGGCTAGCTCATTCCCTTCGCCCAGTACTCTACCCCCAAAACTGATACTATGCCCTTGATGGATGCAACATACATGCAAATAATGCTAAGAATTACGACTGTAGATAAAAAGTGTAATAATCTTCACAAATACTTCAGCCCTATTGTTTCACAGCTATGTAGCAGCGCAATTTGACACTACATTCGGCCCACCATATACATTCCGACATCCTGCAGATACGCTGAGTGATGTCAGTTAGCAAATGTAATGGTTTTAATAATTGTGCTGAGATTTCGTCGGCCACAAGCCCATCACTTTTGATGCGACTCCTCAATTAAGTGAAACGTTAAAGGTACTTAATCAGACCACTCCACATTTCAAGGGAGGACATCTACATCGACAAGTGCTAAATCTGAAATTTGTATTTGAGGTGAGAAAACGCAGTCCGAATACTGAGACGGTTGTTCTCCATGTCTAGAAGAATCCATTGTATATCAGAATTCGAGTACTTAAATTCTCTTCAGCAAGGAAACAGAACAAGATAATTACCTATAAAATGAATTGTTTTTGTGGGCAGATGTTTGGTAAGTCTGAACAAATATTCAGTGAGTAGATGGATGCCATTTTTGTAACCACCTATAGAACAATTTACCTTTCGTTACGATGTGATCGCGAGTATTCAAACTGTTTTCAGAATGAAAAATAACTGCCATGCTCCTGTTATGGCGACAGGCATAATCCTAAGACTATTCGATTTAGAGAAACTAATGGCAGTTCCAAGTGAAAAAATATGGCAGGTACAGAACATTGACGTGTAAACCATTTTTCTGGAAACTAACAAGGAGCAGAGATTTGATCGGTGCATCTTTGCTTAAGTCTCAAACCTGTTTAGGTTTCATAATTATGCCACTTTGGAGCCCTTGTTAGATGTCTAATGACTTCAAACTATTTGGATATATATATATATATATATATATATATATATATATATATATATATATATATATATATATATATATATAATATTTCTAGGCTATTGAAACCCATGAAGCTATGTCCAAAATGACACTCGGACTTAATAGTGTCAGCATCTGACTAATAAAGCAACCCCAGGATTGTTGGAACTGTTAGTCAGTGTCACGAAATGATATTGCAATCGAATGAATTGGAATGCTGAATGAACAGTCAGCCTGACGGAACAACTCCTGAATCCTATGTTCGAATGAGTGCCATAGTTAGTCGAACTGATAATTCTTCGCTGTTGCTATAAAATACATTTTTGAGCGGATAGTCAGGCTCTACTGCTTTACCTCATCCCATGATCCAAACAATATACTTAAACACTGTACAGTGCGGAGGCCTGATATCCATACCTTTTTCTGGCTACGTTTGAATGATGAGTAACAGGAAAACAGCTGGAGGTCGGCTGGATCGTTGTGCGAAGAGTTACATTCGACGTCATAATCGATGGTTTCAAGTACATACCAAAGATTGGTATTTCTCGAACATATACGCCACCTAAACAGTTTTCCACACTGGTCTCCTAAATAACTATTTACGACTATAGGGCTTTGCTAATTTCTCCATGTCTTTATTTTCAAATCCAATACTGTTCATATATTCGGTGTAAGCTCCTTGTCAGATTACGATTAAGCTACTTCCAGACACCGAGTTGTTGAAAATCATCAACAGTGTGTCAATAGGCATTCAAAAGAGATCCCAACACGAGTATAAGTTTATTACAATAAAAAACAACTTGAGAGGAACACATACCATTCAGATAACCATAGTTTGACCCACAGAACTTTCGAAGGTCATAGATACAGCTATGGATACGCATGCATCTAATAACTTCTATGCTAGTTCATTTATAAACCATGGGGAAAATATGATTTTGTTCATAGAAATAGCGTTACTGACCTTTCTATTCAAACAGGCAGAGATGTCAGTATAGAGTCTGGGACAGAAACACACCAACCCAAGATTCTATACTTTACAGCAGTATACAGACAGATGAATTGTTAAAGAATAAATTTAAAAAGAAAAAGATTTATGAGAGGATAGGAGATACACAAATAAAGGTTGATACAATGTTTAGAATTTTGAAGATGAACAGGACTGTGTACGTTTGTATCATTGTGACCGACTTCGAGTCATGTAATTAAGTCTTCAAATAATAAAACCTATTATTTCAAGCAGTATACTCAAATAGTTTACACCTCCAAACCTAGTTCAAACCAACAGTCACGGGGCTTCATGGGTTAGTACAGTGTTTGACTTAACCAACCTATTTCTGCTTCAGCTAACATTAAGAGTCGAAACAGATGGCAATTGGAAATGCATAACACATGTTTAAGTTAATTCAATCAGTGGACGTTCTCAACCTCACCAACTGACTTGCCTAGTTTATTTTGCGTCTAACTTACACACTGCTTATTCTATGGATCCTCCATGCACACTGTCGCACAGAAACCTATGATGAAAAACATGTAGCCTAGTCATTTTTTTCACTTTTAACAGCCATTTTTCAAAGATACACTGCGACAGAGTGGACTGTTCAAAATAAACTAGTCCTTTGATGGATAATTGGATGTCTTGTCAGCGCCATGAATGAGGCAAGATAGGGAGTGCCAAAGTGAGGCTTTTGTATTCGAGTTAAAATTTCATCAACAACCAGCTCATCGGTCCTGGTGCAACTCTCCAAGTGACTGAATTGGTAACTTCAGTAGAACACGTCACTCACCCTCACTAAACTAGAATTCGCTGCAGACCAGTCCTGAATCACTATCTCACACTTGACAGGTGAGAAACGCATGGCAAACACACTCACAATTTAGCTAGAGACGTTCAGCAACTCTGACTAACAGAGCTAGGTTGTCTGCACTCTGAGTTAACCAGATGAGCTTCAGTAGGTAAGTCCACTCCTGCGAAGTCAGGAATAAGGTCACCTGCATTCATATGTTTCTTAACAAAGTTGAGTCATAATGGTGGCAGTGGACTCCCCTCGAGGACACCATCGGTTATCGTTACTTCAGACAATAACTCATGTGAAATCCTTTGAGTAGAGCGTCTTAACCAGGATAATGTATTTCCCAGGTACTACTTTCAGTCAGACAGTCAAAACACCTCTTATTTGAGTGTCGAACCACGCCTTCAGGTCGTTTCGGGTGCCGGTAAATATGCATACGCTACAGAGGCTGTCGAAGGGTAAAATTCTATTGATGCGACCTCGTCTATGCCTAAAACCTGCGTGGTTTGTCGTTGTTGAGTTCAAGTTAGGCACCGCATAACTATGGACCCTATTATCTTGAACATGTTAGTCAAATCTAATAATCCTACGGTTGTCACAAGAATACTGCTATCCTTTTTTTACAGACTGGAATAATTATGATCTGGACCAGTCTGACGAGAATACCTTTGATTCCTGTACGCTAAATATTAACTCCATTACTCTACTCAGCAACTTCCTACATGCTTTCTTAAAAACGTCTGATGGCGAACCATCAGGTTCTGCTGTTCTGAATCACCCCAAGTTTGAAACAGCCTTCTTAAATCCCAGAAGATTTGGAGGACCTACATCAATATCCCATTCGGGTTCCAGTTGGATAGCAGGCAACTGAAACGTTGCCATAGGCCAGTTGAACTATTCTGTAGTGTTCCACACAAAGCCTTACCTGAAGTGGCACGACCCGTGTTCTTAAGAGATGGGTCTCGCTGAGTACATTCTCTTCTCGAGCTAATTTATTTTGAGACCGAATAATTACTGAATGTATAGTAGTCCCACTGAGTTCATCCTTTTCACCACGAATAACTGTCCGCAGCTATTATGGAAACTCAACCAACCTACGTTTAAACTTCCTTCGCTCCTAATTGTGATCGCAACCAGTCGAAATGAGTTTTCTCGCAGCAACCGGAAGTTTTAGAAACCAACAGTCTTTTACACTGTTGGTTGCAGGCTGTCAGCGCTTTCTACGGACTGAATATTATACCAGGTTTCACCTGGATGACTTTTGTCACTTTCAGATGAATGACTGGTTACCTTGTTACCAAATATAAACTTGAAGTTTTCTTCTTGCGGTTGAATACAAAGACGCCTTGCAGCTGTTAGTTTCTTGTTTCCATTAAAGTGCAGAAGCATATATGCTCAGGCTGATTTATGTCGAAAGTCTAAGTAAGTACTCCAAAATGAGCCT